TCGACAATTATATATGCATCTTATAAATATTTCAATATATTGTTTCTCACTAACATCAAATATTTCCAGGTCAGAAAATCAAGTTTTTTTTCTGACACTTGTATTACGAGTAACATTATAGCAACCATTTTAGCATCCATTATTAGCATAATTAGGGAGGGAAGGAAATAGACCGTGACTACTGTAGAGTTGTTTGATGCCTGCCTTTTTTCTTATTTATTTCTTATATTTACTTGTTTTGTCTCTATATATTTGTGTGCTAGTTCTTCAGAGAAAAAGATCAATGTCAAGAAGAAGTCTATATCGTTTAACATACTTTATACTCATAAAAACTTATACATAGTCTCATTTAAACATGATAGTTTTTACTTCTATCCTGGTACCATATCTTGAACACTAATACATACATAAAAGATATACAAGACATAAAACAACTTTTGTATAAGTATAAATATGAATGTAGACATGCAAAAAAGGTGAAGTAGGAGTGAGAACAGCTCGACTTTTGTTTTATGCAACTTAGAATGGTAAACAAGCTAACGGCCCACCTGATGGAAAGTAGCAACAGTCGCCTATAGACATAACATAACAGAGTATACTGTGCCGCCCATAAAACCCCTCATGCCATTACTGAGGACTAAGGTGTTATGTAAATTTCACTGCCATATCCTACCTCTTAAACCGAAACACAGCCACGCAAACACAACTGTTTATACATACAGGATACAGGGGATCATCTCTATGATGTACAAATATTTTTTTTTTCCTATAATATTACTTTTTACATATATACATTTAATATTATTATATCGCCGTGCGATCCCAACATAGAATGAGCTACCCTTTCCTGTCCCGTGAGTGTCGTAAGAGGCGACTAAGGGAACTTAATCGTCGAATATTGGGCAACAGCGTTCCTATTAAAACATCATCAAATCCTAATTGTAGTTGCCAACCTGCAAACCAAACGTGGCAACTACTGGCAAAATCTCCCAATAAGGTGAAGCCTATGATCAGCAGTAGATAGTTAACGGTTAATAGGATAGTATTATAACATTTATTATATTGGAACCTATGAATACAGTAGATGTTCCATTACCATTCAAAGTTCAGCTCCCTTTTCAAAAACACGCGCCGGCAGGGAAGGCCATAAACAACCAACGAAACATGATTTATGAGTCCCATATAAGGGAAATAGTAATTGAAGTTTAATATTATTAAAATGCAATTATCTTCCAATTGATGTCCATTACAAATTAAAGAATTATGTTCAACCTGTTACTCGAGAATGACCTCTAAATATATGCAAATTTGGACATTGACCGTGTCAATTTAATACGAGTATATATATTAACGACTAGCGATCCGTCCCGGATTCGCACAAGTAGATAGAAAAATAAATTCACATTATGAAATAGTACTTTACATAGACGAATAGAAGTTTACAATAATATTAAGCTTAAGGATGTTCACTTACCTACACCGCGGCATTTTTCTTACTTTTAGCATTTTCATACCAGTTTTAACTACTAAACGAAAGGATGAATTCAAATATTACTCTTTAAAGAGGGAAAAATTAATAAGGAGGAATTTATATACCATTGAAGAAAGCGATAATGTGGTCTAAGGTAGACCTCACGGGCCCACAAATAATCTATTCACATTTGCCTTAAATTGATATATAATTTTTTTTTTATATACAACTTAGAATGGCAAAACAAGCTGACGGCCCACATGGAAAGTAATCTCACCTATAGACATGAGCAGTATCATTATATTTATATATATATATATATATAATCAACTTTGATTATAAAACTATTTAATTGGATAAGAATTAATATTATATTATGATGAATAAATGACGAATGTCATCATCTTTTGATTCTACCCGTATTTTGATGTAATAATTTGAAGAAAAAACGATTATTTGGACTTAACCATATTATTATATATTGGTATATAAATTCATGGATTATTGTGTAAGTAATACTATATAATTTATTCGTTATTTTTTATATCATCAATAGTTTTCCCAACGCAAGCTAAATAATAACTTTAATTGGCTAATTTTATCCTTTAATTTACAATATTATAATTTTCGTGGGGAACTTAATTTTTATTTTTAAATAATATGTAACCCAACATGGGTTTTTATTGTTAAAATTTTCATAAGAATACATTAAGTTTTAATGTTATTACTACCGGCTTAACTTACTTGTAATTTGGTCGATAACGCTCGACTAGTTTCAGGTACATCTTTAATAATTATATTAAATAATATGTTACTTGTTGATAATATAACTTCCAATAGATGAAAGAATGTTTAAAAAATCAGTTAATTATTTTTTATCCAATTAAGTTTTGTTTTTGTTTATCCACTGCGAACAAATATTTCCCCTTTACTATAAGTTTAAATATTAGAAACAAGTTTTATATTATATTTGATAAAATATTTTTGCAACAGGTTGTGTAATAATTACTTAGTCACATATATTACTTATCTACGTATGTTATTTCAACTTCTTTAAACGTATTTATAACTAGTTGAATCTCGCGTCTTTTCCATGTGAGTTTGGTACATGTACAAAGTTAGAATATAACCTACTAGTGCACCAAATTTTATTCAAATCTGTCTAGTAGTTTTTGCTTGAAAGAATAAGAAACATCCATTATCCATCCATTCATCCATCTTTACAAACTTTAGCATTTATAATTAAATAGGTTTTATAATACTAATAGGATGATATAATAATAAAATAAACTGTGGAATATTTAAGTATTTATAATCTATATTAATAATTAATTTAAATTTATAGATTAGTCTTATTAGTTATAGTATTAGATTTAAGTAGAGATGACATTTTAATCTCAATGTTGTTACATAGAAAAGACATCAACGCATTAGGTGGCTTTATTTTTTTATCTGTGACATATTTTTAATCTGTGTTATAATTGTATTTTATAGATAGTGCAACAAAAGTAACAAAACTATGAATATTACTTTTATTAAAGATTTAAGATAGTAATATTAAAATGTAGATTACAATAGAAGAAAGAAAATCTTTACTGATATTTTTCAATCTTATTCTTTCTCTGTCTCGGTCTCTGTGTTCTTATAAAATTTTCTATATACGTGTATTAGGAGATAATAACTTGAATACAAATTCCTTTTATGATATGGACATCCATTAAGATATAGGAAGGATTTTTATAGAGAGGTTATCTCCGCACTGAAGGAAATGAGAAAACCTAGTATTGATATTATGTTATAGCTGGACTTAATATATTATAGATATGCTCACAAATCCTCTGAATCGAACATCGTAGAAACGTAATCACAAACAACTTTCAGGTTACGATGATATTTCATTAATAAAAGGAATCAATACGGTGTATAAATATCCGTGCAATATTTTATGGCAGTCACATAAATCCGCCATATAATAACGATTACCCCGAGGTTGTGACACAGATAGTGAAATAAATATCGATATTTAGATTGATTATAAATCTGCGTTCCGCAAGTCGCCCTTTGTGCTAGACTGTAAATATGATATTTAAGCACATGTACGTGTAGTTTTGCATGAGTATATTGAATTTATTGCACAGAATTTATAGAGCTTTTCATCGGCTTCCGCGTAGCTGTGACTCAGCAACGAGTATTATTAGCCGCCTATTCCCGTCCGTCTCCGATAATATAAGAGCGAGGCGCGGGCGCACGGCGCGGGTCGGTGCAGACTTTGCAGACACATCTGTTTCTATCCCACTTGATACTAATGTATTTGTATTTTTATATTGTTTTACGATATCTTTTTTATAAACAGTTAGTCATGATGTATTTTTAATGGACGTGGGCAGTAATTGTTTCCGACTCTCCGGTCGTGAAATGCGACTGTTGTGGTGTGAAAACATTTATATATATACACACACATATACATACACACACACACACACACACACACACACACACACACACACACACACATATATATATATATATATAATTATCATTTTTATTTGAATCAATACAAATATTTTTACGTGTAAATAAAATTTAAAAAATTATATTATTAATAATAATAATATATAATTAATAATTTATTATTAATGTTAAAAACTATTTAAAATAATATTGTAATATTATTTTTTAATAGTTTTTAACGTTTAAATATAATTAACAAAAAAAGAAATTCCATTAATAAGCAATACCTTTTTTATTTACAATAAAGGCTCGAATAGCATGCCCCTCAATAATATCAACAAATATTTCATACATATTAAACTGATCGTTTATCAAAAAACAATTTTTAGGTACTTTTTGCACTTTGTATCATAAGTAATGGATAATAATTATTACACTTCGTTGGATCCGCCATATTAACATTCAATTCTTTATGGTTCTTCCTGTTATGTAAACTGAATAAAATACAGGTCTCACTCTTAAGTTTTTTTAATTAGATTTAACATTTCTATTACATAAACTTAGAACACCATTTAATAAACAATATTTTAAACTTGATCAGAAATATATAAAAACCTATAGGTACGCAGCAAATAGTCTCTCCGAAAGTTGTTTTTATGATTTCATTACTAGATAGTAATAATAATATAATTATTATACTATTATTTTAAATTATTGTATATTAGACTATGTTATTTATATCTGTTCTTTGAATATTCCGTTAGCTAGTTGTTCGTAATATCTGCTTATATCTAAACTAATTCGTGAGATCCTATCTCACAACAAATAAAAAATAATATTCCAATTATTAATACCTTTTTGTGGTCATCATCTCAGTTTAGAATCCACGGTGACGGTATTCTGGGACATTGAACTGGCTAGGAATAGATTGATATAAAGTTCTACATATATTTATCTGTTCCGTGTACAGTATAAAACACTATATAAATTATATTACACATCCACATGCGATAAGTTTTATTTTGCTGGTAATTTTTATATTACGTTTTATAAATCGCTAATATTTATTTGTCGGCAGCACTTTGGGCGTGGCGCACGTCGCAGGGATGTGCAAACCTGACAGGAGCTGTTCCGTCAATGAGGATAATGGCATCATGCTAGCACACACCATCACCCACGAACTGGGACACAAGTGAGTACCTAATAATTACTTGTACACATACTTCTTAACTATGTATATCTGCACGCTGTGTCCTTTGCGGGGAACGTAAAGAGAATTAAATACCAATGACCTCTATACTATTAATAATCTGCGTGAGACAGTAGCGGACACGTTGCTTTGCATAAATAAAATCCTGGTTACGATTCCCGATCAAACCAATTTAGGAAACGAATTTTTCTGAAATGACTTTGGTCTCGGTGTTCTGGATTGTATCGCCAGATGTTCAATACCTGATTCTTTATAACACAGAAATTTTCGCTTGAAAATCAAACGATTGGAGTAATTCTGGAAAAAAATAATCTAGCTCTTTAGCATTTTTAGTTACTCTTTACTTACTTTACTAACGCTGATATGTACAAAAAAGTAGTATAACTAGAAAAAAGGTATCTATATAATATTTTGAATCGGCTTGACGGCTTAGACTCGGCCACCACTTCCTTTCCCGTGGGTGCCGTAAGAAGCAACTAAAGGTGTTAAACGGTCGAGGGATGGACAGCAGTGCCCCTCTTAAAACATTACCAAGGGCTAACTATGGTTACCAACCTACCTGCTAAGCATAGCAACTACTGGTATTAATTACCTCCTTTTATGAGGGAAGCCTATATTCGGCAGTAGATAACAGCTGATATGATGATATAATATTTTAAGATATGTGTATATTCATTTTAATTTTAATAAAGTATTATTTTTGTTATACAAACTTATTTATTAAATCTGTTATTTAGCTTTAAGCGTTAGGATATTCAGGTGTAACCTTACTTAGAATTTTGTACTAATTTTACTAGTACTTTGTTCTAGTAATAGTTTACTGAAATTTTCCATTCATATGAACTCAATAGCAATTGATTTATTTACTCTTTAGTTTATAATGTAGGGATACTCTATAGTCTCTCACTCAATAACGATAGCGCCGTGTTCAAAGAATCGTTCTAACAGTTTTGAGGGCCGTTCTCGTAGTTTATTAAACAAACGTTTCTAAAATTACCAAAGTGTAAATCGTTGCACCACAGATTAAATAATAGTTATTCTGTGGTTTAGTAACTTTGGATCGGATTAGTTACCAATATCCCAATTTCATAAGAGTTCCCAAATTATAACCAATGTCCTTCATGTGTTCGCAAAAGACATATAAACTCGTATGTGAAGTGTTACACCGTTTAATAGACCAATAACAATTTTAGTGTTAGATTATTATTCAGATCGTAAACAAAATTTATATGAGTAATAAGAGTTATGTTTATCTTTGTTCGCATTATTATTATTGTAATTAACTAATATTACAAAATCAATATTAACTAGTTTAACTATTGTATTTTTACGTATATGATTTGGAGGTACCTGTATAAATATATAGAAATAAAAATTCATATCTCTAAATACTTTATACAATCACAACCATAAATAAAGTTTAATGGACTAATCAGAGGCTTTTGTCGGCTACTACTGTTGTGATACCTATTCGTACAACTTGACATGGCCACATTGCACCGAGCATATTAGAATCAATCATGGTGAGAGGGAATAGGAGTGAAGAGCCCACTGCTGTTACGTATAAATATGGTTTGTTTTCAGTATTTTTAGTCACCTGAGACTTAGCCGAAAATATAAATTGACACATAAATTTTCTGGCACCTAAATTCAAAGTCACGGTCTTTGCAGTCTATAAGTTGAAGTAATAATACGGTTTTTCTATTCTTATATAATTTTTATGTATAATATATCATAACTATAAACAGCTCTGTCAATAGTTTCAATCCGCATTGCACTTATATTATAACAGTGATGGTAGAGAGATTTCTTTACGCAATGTTCACAAATTTTCGCAACGAATCTGTGTGTCGACAAGCAGGCGTATGGAATTGGTCACTCGCAAATAGGTTATTAAAATATTACAACAGAATCATTAGTCTGTCATGATCTCCACACTCAACCATAGATTGAATTGTGTATACCGTTAAATATAAATAAAATATTTTTATCTAAACCCATACAAAACTTCAATAATATGAATAATTAAGTAATACATGCTCCATGTGTTTTAATAGAAATAATTGAAAAATCGTTACTAAAATTAAAAGTGTCTTTTAAATATATGCATTTGAAATAAATACTTTTATTGTCTCGTTGAACAACATATTATAAATTATCTGTAGTTGGATGTTATAGCATTGTATTCTCTATTCGACTAGAATAGAGAATACAATGCTTTAACATATTAAAATATAATTATGTACTAACACATATACACTATGTAACATTATAAATACCTCACTGTTTTTAAAATGTAGTATTTGGCTGTGGTTTTTGTGAGATGGAGGTCACCAGTCATTAAGATAATAATCCACTGTATTATAGCTACATCTTATAATACATCTTACAATTATACAATACTAGCAATCCGTCCTGGCTTCGCACAGATAGATAGAAAAATAAATTCGTATTTTATATTAGCTTTAATAGGCAAATTTTTTATACCTTGGGTTACATTATTGTAATATATAGGGATCTCTATTTTCTTTTAAATATTATGTAATGTATGTTGCAGATAATTTAAAATATCCGAAATTCTCCTACATGCCTTTCATAACGATTAGTTGAGCCGTGAGTCAAGAGGTAACAAACACTCTATATTTATTTATTAAAGATATTATTGAATAACATGTTATAAAGATATAGAATACTCAAAAGTCATGTTCACATTTAAAATACATATATATGTATATAAAAAGATTTTCTGTAATTTATAACTTTATTTCTTATAATTGTTAATGTACCTTACGTAAGAAAGTAAAATATTACAGTAAAGATGATCGTATCTGCATTACGAATAACCAAACTACTAGCTCGGCACATTTTATATTCAAATTTAGAGTAGAATGTACCTACCAACATTTATGCATATATATTTGGAAATGTGTGTACTATAAATTGGCAGCAGTTGCCTAGCGCTTCGAGCATCGACTCTGCTCTGAGTCATATGTTCCTAAGCTGGGATTACTGCAAGGACGCCGTCCTAAGACAAAAAATAAACAGAATATTGCTACTCACTATTTACGAAATCATTGCCAGTTCTAAATTAAACAAGTGATTACAATGATTTAATTTAAATATTGAAAAATATTTTATACTACCTTTTAAATAAATAAATACATTATCGCAAAGTTAATTTAATTAATAATTATTAGATATTATGAGGTTTATACACTTATACTAAATTTCTAAGCCATAATTAGATCGGTACATTCATCGTTCCCGCATCGTCGCTATCAGCTGTTTTAAGATAACTGTATAAACAACAATGGTAATAGTAATTCAAACACATATAACGTGAGTGTAAGCAAATAATACAAATGCAGGCAGTGACCTTCCGCTCCTACTTAATAGACATGAATGCACCATTTATCGCGTACACGGACAATGCACTCAGCAATGACAGGTTAGCGGCCCACACAAGTTCAATCTTTTCTTACGTTTCATTAAACAACGTATTATATTATGAATGAAGCAGACATGAGTTTGCCTGTCTGTCAAATCAAAATTCCATTACGTTGTAGATATCTATGTGATAACAGTAATCAGTGTTTCAATGTAAACAAGATTGTATTTGATTTTTCATTATTTAAATATTTGTCTTTATTTACGTGTGACTAACTGAAAATATTATAATATATTAATGAAATAAGTTACTTCACAATTAGTTCTTATTATTATTAAATTGTGTTGCCAATGATGACTTACGGAACCGAAACGTAGGACTACGATTGCCTGTATGCTAAAGCTTGTAAAGAGGGCTATGCTCGGAGTCTCTTTGCGTGATAGAAGCCGAAACGAGGATATCCGCAAAAAAAAAAAAATAACCGACATAGCCCGAAGGATAAGAAAACTGAAGTGGCAATGGACTAGTCAAAGGTTCTTGGCGACCACGTACGGGTAAACGCAGTGTAGGACGACCCCACCACTAGATGGAGTGATGACCTGAAATGCGTTCCAGGGAGTCAGTGGATGCAGATGGCTCAGGATCGTTCTTTATGGCAATGTATGGGGGAAGCTTATATCCATTAGTAGACGGATAATGGCTGAAATGATGATGAATGATGATTATTAAATTATTAAGAAAGGCGTTGAAATAAATTATTTCAGTCTGACCTTTTCTTTGCATTAAAATTATATTACGTCTTAATAAAATAAAATCTACAGTGACGATCATCAAAATATTTTTTCAAAAATAAAAACGTTGTTGCTGGTGTGTGTGTGTGTGTGTAAACCAATATCTAAAGGCATAACTAATAATGTAAAAAATACCTTTATATATTACTAGTTATATCACACGTCTTTATCCGTGGTCGTATCGTGATTTTAAACAGCCTACAATGTTCCTCAAGTAATGAACTATCAAGTGTAAAAAGTTTTTCAAATCCATCACATAGTTCGAAATAATAACATGTTTAAAAGAGACCTAGTTTCATACAAGAAATAATTTTAATTTTTTAAAACCTTGCCATAAAGACACCGATGAGTACATTATACCACGTCTATGATTCAATTCACTTCATGTACTTTGAATTAAGATTACTTAACAATAATTTTTAAGAATATTGTGCATAAGCTCTAAACATTAAATTGAAATTTTATTTTATTAATATTTGATTAAGCATACGAACATATAAATTACAGGTTCCAGCGTTTAATATAATAGACACAAGCAGATTTTTTGTACAATCATTACTTTAATCATGCGGTTTATAATAACAAAGTGACCTCCAATATAATATTAAGTATATAGGTATAATGGGTTTATATGGATAACAGCAAAAAAAATATTTAAAATATAATTGAGACAAGAAATAGATAATTATTTGGAAATTAGTTCTGCTATAATATTTCTGTAAAATTTATGGTATTCTGTAGTAGTTATTTTTACTCAACTCCCAGAGAAAAATAAGATTGTTGCAATGAAAAACGTTCATGTCTTCAAAGTCCCAACAAAAAGATTTTGCAATACACTTGACGTTTGCGTTACTTATATGTATTATAGTTATTCTAAGTTTTTTTTTATACAACTTAGAATGGCAAACAAGCTGACGGCCCACCTGATGGAAAGTGGCAACCGTCGCCTATAGACATAAGCAGTACCATGGACATAACAGAGTATACTGTTTCGCCCATGATACCACCCATGCGTTGCCATTCCTAAGGAGTCAGGTGTTATTCCACTGTACCCTGTAAATTCACCCCATATCCCACTCTTCAAACCGAAACACAGCCTTGCAAACACAACTGCTTCACGGTAGAAACACGAATGGGACAGAGGTATGCAAGCAATCGACTTTTGTACAAAGTCTCCCTCTGGTAAAATATTATGTATATTATAAGTAAATTATATATGTATATTTATATATATTATTATAATATATGTATCCATATTGTTACTTATTTACTAGTTCGTAAATTATTATTATGTGGCCATTAACGATATAATTTTTAGTTATCGTATTATTTTTGCGCCATATACGTATGTTATGTTTTATATACAAACCCTATAGATACTTTCACCTTTAGGGTTCTTAAAATTGACTGGAAATAATCCCTTCAAGGGACTAGTCCACTTGTGCACGTTATCATTTTGTTTATAGCCCGATATTTATATTACACATGAATGTACATACGGACATATTCTGAAAAGTATAATTATAACTTATATATCCTTTGGAAGGTTTTCGTATTAGTATTTGTTTAATATCTTCTATCTCGAGACAACGACCACTTAGTTTTATTAAGTATAGATATATTAAACAGGACTGGATTTTACATACGTAATAACTTCCTCAATATAACCTGCCTTTATACTTTACACCAACTAACTGTAATCTTCAATGACTTTTCTAAAATAGCTAAAAACAAACTTTATGTCATGAGTAGGTATATATAATTATGTAATAAGTGTCTATCTTATCATGTCTACTTAATACTCATATACAAGTGTTTCCTCTCATATACGTAAGTAACAATAAAAGGTTATTCACACTAAATGTGACGTAAATTACTGGCAACATTTTAGATACTCAAAAAATAATATAGATACTCCTTTGTAGTAAATAGATGACTTTCTTTTATTATTTCGAAAATAATATGTAGTTTTAACATAGCCTATTTTTAAACTTCCATAAAAGACAGAAGTAAAGAATGGTGTAGTTCAGTTTCAATCACTTTCAAACGAAAACAGTTATAATATTTATTTACATAGTTTAGCTATAGTTTGGCATTGAAACTTTTAATTAAAGAGCATATTTCTTCTTAAAAGATAGGCAATACATTTAGAATTTCTCTGAAGTTGCAGGTACCTTTAGGCGCCGGTAATCACTTATCATTATGTGAGCCGCATATTCGTTTGCTTCTTATGTTATAAAAAAAGTTTAGGATGCTGAGCCATCAACTGTATTAAGTGTGTGCCATTCCCATGGATAACTTTTATGTCACTAATAATTAATTCAAATACTTATTAATATTATGATTATAAACTCGGTGACGTGAGTGAAGTCGTGAATAAAGGCTATAAATTTGTATAAGGTTATAATTATATTGAAGAGAAATTTAAAAATTTTCTTCTTCTCTTTATTTATTTATTAATATTTTATACCCACTATTACTATTATACATTATACTATTATATTTACAATACATAAAAAATATGACAGAGTTAAGCTAATGTACAAAGGTAACCTTAACTTTATAATTTTCGTGTTTTTTGTGATAATATATTTTTTATCATTGTTAATAATATAACACCATAATTTTTTTATTTTAAATTATTTTATAGTATTTTTAATAAAAGAAATCTTTTGTAATTAATCTTCACTTTCCCCATAATAAGCTTGGCATAAAGATATACCATATACAATGTTTTTCTATTGTTAAATTCAGTAACTCATAATATGAATACAAAAGATTTGAACTAATTATCTCCTTCTATAATAAAAAAAAACTATACACAATACCTATTACTATGCCTAATCACAGTCAATTTGTTTATTTTTTAGTTTTGGTCTATACCACGACACGGAAAAAATCGGATGTCACCGACGTGAAGGCTCAACGCTGCATATCATGACACCAATCTTCGAAGCCGACACTCGTCAGGTAGCCTGGTCGCGATGCAGCAAGCGGGATGTCACCAACTTCCTAGAGTTAGTGAGCCCTCAATTATATATGGATAAAGAAACTACCAAAAAGATACTAGTGTAATTGTAATCTATGATATTATTACTCATACTAATCATAATCATCATCATCATCATGTCATATTATAACTATTTGTTGTACGATCTTGACACTTGATATTATGACCAAGCATAGACAACGTAAATAAAAAATGTCTAGTTTCCGTATGTTCTTTTTGTGTAGAGTCCATGACTGCTATGCATAACTAAGGATTGGAATTACCATAACACTATAAACGACAAGTTAGTGTGCAGCTTTAAATCGTGTGACCTTCATACGCACTGATTTAATTATACCTACTTTTGCTATTTTTGTAAAAAAAAAAATTGTAAGCATATTTATCTATGGAAAACCATGTTAATTTTCAGGTCTTTTGTCGTGATGCTCTAATGTGATTAGATAAAAGAAACAAATAAATCTATATTTAAATAAAAAATGTTATAATAAAATAAATTTTATTATTTTATTAAATAAATATTATAATAAAATCAAAATGATCTTTACAATTTTTTATACTTATTTAATATAATTATTATTTTGAAATGACATGTATGAACATTGAGGTGTAATATATGTAAGAAAATTTACGAGCATATAATGCAGTTTCCTGCTGTGATGTACGACAAATACTCTTTTGCCGAGCAGGCTTCCCATTCCACGTAATTATGTTTTCATATTTTTACAAAAACATATTTTTGGCATTTAATTTGTGATTTTTAATATAGAGATTACATATCTATCAGAGACGAAAGCCGATTATATATTTTTAATATTGATAATGCTAGTAAGTACTATTTACCAACATTAAATTATTATAAATTTTAATCCATTAAGTTTTAAAAATTATGACCACGTTTTAAACAAAAAATTTCGAAAGTTAGAGTCAATGTTAACATAATGTATCTACTTATGTTTTAACTGTTTACGATACATATCACACGCAGATAACCTTTCTGCTTATAGCTAATTCAATTTATAGAAAGTCGGCAGCTTCTTTCAAACAAGAAATTTCGCTTCGATCGTCACGCAATAAATTGCAAAAAGCTTTTAGCTCATTCTACTTACTCGGTATTAAATTAGTATCAGCCATAATCCAGTAATGTACTTACTCTATCAATTCTATCTATCTAAGCGCTTCTAGTACTGAAATATAAAATAGCTCATGAAATTCATTTTGCTTTAATACTTTTACTATCTACTACTTGATACAATACAAATGTCGTTCAATATAGAAAGCATTTTGATGCTCGGAAACAGTATATCTTATAGATTATCAAATGTCTATACGTAACGTGAAAATTCATTTCAATATGCGACACTTCAATAAATATAAGTTAAATGTTGAAATTAAATGTTATTTTACTTTAAACTCCATCGTTTGAGTGTTTAAAATTTCTTATTTTTACACGATTCAAACGTCAGCAGGGTCACCGGTTACACAATGAATTATTTATAACACTTAAACAAAATATTTATGCGACTAGATTATTTGTCAAATACGTTAATTAAAATAACTCATCGTATTATTATAAGACACGTATTTTTTAGATACCTACGAATAAGTATGTGTATTTTACGGAATTCCATGATTATAATAATATGAAAACTAATTATGTAAATACTACAACAGCTGTGATAAAATTTAATAAATTAATAAATTAATATTAATTTATGTATCTATTGGACGTTATTAGATATCCGCATCGACGGCATACTATGTCGTCAATATAGTTATATTACATTACTTTGATTAAATTTATTTTGAAATCCAAATTAGCTAGCCGTAACTGTATAAATTTCCGTAAATATATACTACTTTTTTATAATCATACTATATACTGGGGGAATGAAGGGTGAAATTCCCAGTTTCAAAATTAACTAGGCGAGTATTTAGCTATTAGAGAGTCTGGTGCTTGGTGTCAGTCACTAATAACCAAAGACGTAAAAGCAATAACAATGCAAAGTCCGGAATTAAAGTTTTAGGGTTTGAAATTGAGTTTCACAATCTTTTAAATCGTTATTTCGTTATAAATGTGTTATCATATCTTTTAGTTAAAAAGTTTGCAACTTAGTCAATAATTTGGAAAAATTTCCTGGCATAGAATAGACCACCCTCTCCTGTATCGTATGAGTCGACTAAGTGAGTTTATAGTCAAGGGATAGGTAACAGCGTTCCTTTTAAAACATCACTAAAGTTGTTGCTTACCCTCCTGTCAAGTGTGGCAACTATTGGAAATCTTACTTATTAGGAAAGCCTATGTTCAGCAATGGACAGTTAACATCTGACATAATGATAATGATGATTTTAGACTACAATCATCCATCTTTTCCTTTAAGATGCTTCCTAAACTAATATTTATTTACCTCTTACCTCGGACATTACAATATTTATTGACCAATTAAATCAACATATATTGATTACTTGTATCTATTTGTTAGAAAAAACTTCAAGTTCTTTCTTGAACACTATCACTACACACTATTATAGATGTTTGTAATATTTTTTTCTTTATTTATTATCATTCTAATGTATTTCTATTCTTCGAAGATAATTACACAAAGATTGCCTTAAAAAAATTGTTAATTAATGTATCCCTTGCGTACCACCACTTATTCTGTAAGAAATGAGTACATTCATTCTTTATTTAAAATAAACATGTGATAAAGTGCGAAATATGATGTCGATTTTATGTTATGTGTTTATTTATTCACAGTGCTGGTTTAGGAGAATGTTTGAGTGACAAACCTTCGCAGGAAGAATATTACGAATATCCGGAAGATCCTGCCGGTAAGATCAAATTCCTTTATATATTTGCCAATATATTCTACGGATAATACCTATTTATGAAATAGGACAGTACTATTGCTCCATACAAGTTTACTAATTATTTAGTAGTTAAATTCGGCTAGTAATACATCAATAGAATAATGTACACAAACTACATACAGTAGAAGGTCAGTTATACAATACAATGGGTTTTGATAGATTTTTCAACCTGTAACTAAATTTACCTTATAGATAAATATAATAATTATTATTAGATATATTATTGTGTTTAGTTTCAAGAACTGACTAAACTAATTTACTAATCAGTCTTAATATATTTTAGGTGTAATGTTCGATGCAGCGACGCAATGTCACCTGCAATTTGGCTCTGAAGCAGTGGTATGCGCGAAGCCAACAGAACTTTGCGAACACTTGTGGTGCCTAGTCAACGACTCTTGCAAGACCATGCTGCGACCAGCCGCACCGGGCACAACTTGTGGACCTAATATGGTAAAACCAAAGAAAGAATATTATTTTCTATTTATGAAAACTTAAAAGAAACAGTTTATTTTGTATTAATGCTTCCAATCGTTTAAATATTCCTATGTTTTTTAGGGAAACTTGTTCAGTTTAATGAAACAATATTTTATTCGTAGGTGTACTATTTATGGTCAGTGAATGAAAATGTAGATAACATTTACAATCGTAGTTAATTTTCACTTTTTTATACATATTTAAATTTAGATTTAGATTTAGATACTTTTAGATAGTATTTACCTGTAATTGCGTTTCATTATGAAAATACTATCTAAAAGTATCTACTTAGATAGATTTTATTGCCGATATCCAAGTTATCACATCAATACAATCCATGTCGAAACGTCAGCAAAATAGATATGTATGTATGAATAGATACTATAAAAGTATTTACAATGGTGACAATACGATAGTTTGTAAGGATGAATGGATGAATATTTGTTACTCTTTCATGTAAAAACTACTATACGGATTATGAACTTTGGCATATGGGTGGGTTATATCCTAACTTAGCACATAGAGCAATTGATACGCGGACAAATCCGCGAAATATAGCTAATGAATTATAATGGAATGGTTACCTCTGTCTACGCTATCTACTAGTTTACGTTGGCGAGGTACTCCAGTAATAGTGATTGATGGAGATCAAGTTAGATCAGCTGGTTAATTATGACAAATCCATTAGAAATCAACTACGATGATTTATAGAGGAACTGCGTGGAGAGGAGGCCGACTGGACAGAGTATATTCCTGGGAATGGGGTCATTAGTCCCCATTACTAACAATCCCTTCCCACTTTACAGTGGTGTCAGAACCAGACGTGTGTGGCTCGCACCCCCTCCCCCGCCCCCCGCGACGGTGGCTGGGGCCCGTGGAGCGAGTGGAGCGAGTGTTCCCGCACGTGCGGCGCTGGTGTCTCAACGCAATCGCGCGAGTGCAACAACCCGCAGCCCTATAACAATGGAAACTATTGCATAGGAGACAGGAGTCGGTCAGTAACTTTGTAAATTACTTTACCAGCGGGAGGCCTTGTACAAAAAGCGATTAATTGAGTACTTCTTCCACTCGTATTAATGTCGATAAAAGGCAATGGTTGCATACCTGTTTTTTTTTTTAATGAACATATTATGACATAAAAATTACAAGTAGGTACAGGATATGTAAGCCATCATATGTTTTGCTATTTTGGTCCCCAGAAATGGCAAAGTATAAGAGAGTATCACAGTGTATTCTGTGATGTAGTACATATATTATCCATGATGTTCATGTTTATTTACCGACAGCTATCATTTTCCATCCAGGCAAGCTATCAGATTGTTTGTAATTCCTTTATGAAATGAATAAATAGAAACTTACTACTCGTATCTTTTCTACTTGTATATACTTGCAGTTCCCTGTATAATGTAATGAATCTTATCATATCTCCATAAACAATATTAAATCAGGTAAAAGTTGCAATGTAATTAAAAAATAATCAAAAGATTCCTCGAAATAGCGTCTCTTTTGAACCTTTTTTTATTCTACGTTGAAAAATAGGTACGTAAAGGCCCGGTGCAACTATTTAAGATATCGAATATTTTGTAGGATGGTCGTTAATTTCTTAGAAATCCTAAATCTCATAACTTAATACAAAAAAATACTAGGTAGGCAAACAGGTTTGTACCTACCCAATTATGAAAACGGAGGATAATGTCTTTTGAATGTAAGTAAAATATATATACGTGTGCATCAAGTTTTTGATACAACATGTAGTACAAATTAATTGATATATTTTAATAAATGAGATGTCAATATATTCATCTTATTGTGGGTTTTATATTTATTAATTAAAAGATAATACTAAAAAATAAATAAAGCTGTCAAAGTTTCAATAAAGTACCTATTCTTTTTTTATAAATTCGTCCCGATAATTAATTCTTTTTGTTTCAGATATAAAATATGCAACACAGATCCATGCCCCATTAACGAACCTACATTTAGAGAAGTGCAGTGCGCGCGATACAATAACAAAACATATAAGAACATGACTATCGCCGAGTGGATTCCATACTTTGATCAAGGTATGCACGTATATATCATTGTTATATTTATCTACTTTTTGCAAAAAAATATTTTTTGATGAATGTATCTAGAATGTTAACATAATAAAACTCCATTCAACATAATCTCAAACATTTATGTGATGTTTTTGACAATAGCTAAAGGTCTAATGTTTTACCATGTCTTAAATATAAATTTTTACATCATTGGAAACGATACACGGCTAGACCCTATTTGACAATAAAATAGTTATCGTTCTTGATTCGATGTGTGAGTAAAACTTGCTATGTTATCCACATAAAAAATAGCCAAGTATGTGTCATTCGACTTTAAAAACGTAACGTTCAGGTTTTACGACTTGGTACGGTCGCTCATTTTATATTTGTTAGATTATTCACTTGCTCCTAAAATTAGGACTGGAGTAAAAAAATTGAATTGTAAGCGAAATTGGAGTCTGTTTCGGGAACATATTATTACGATGTGGTTGATAGTGACAAAATCGTGATTTTCAAAGATGATGTACATATAAATAAAAATGTCAATGAACAATAATATTTTAATTAATATAATATTCGGTAAAATATTTAGAGCGTACTAGTAGTAATTTAGCAATAATTAATCTTATTTAATAAACTAATTTCTTATGCATAGTATCTACGTATTAACTTAAAGGTGACTCCATACCTTTATTATCCCACGATAACTTATTTTTATATAGTTATAGCTAATTTCATGCATAACTAAAAATAATCATAACAAATATTTGAAACAATAAAGTTGTATAGATATTTTATTTTTTAACATTTTGATTAAGTAATTTTATTAATAAAATATTTGTCCAACTTGTATTTCCCAGATAGACCATGTGAGTTGAAATGTACCCCACACGATGACAACGACTTGGAAATAGCAGCGGGCTTCGTTATAGATGGCACTCCTTGTAGACAAAACCCTGGGGCCAGAGACATGTGCATATCTGGTAGGAATATATTTGTTTTTACATTTAATAAATTACTTAACAGCGACGTCCCTCTTAAAACATCACCAAATCCTAACTGTGGTTGTCAAGCCGCCTGCCAAGTATGGCAACTACTGATGAAACTCCCTCGATAGGGGAAGCCAATGTTCAGCAGTGGACAGTTAACGCCTGATGGAGAATAAATTACACAGTTAACATAAATTACAATTTCACTACAACTGGTTCACGTTAAAAACACAAATGGGAAAGAGGTGCCCAAGCAAACGACTTTTGTACTAAGTTTCCCTCTGGTGAAAGATACATACATCTATTATATGGATTAAAAAATGGCTACATACTTATTCGAACTTATAAAAAAGAAAAGTTTTCACGACCCTGAAGAATCCTGAAGAACAAGAAATTATAAAAGAGTATCTACTCTATGATAACCTTAGCAGATTTGTCTCTCTCTCTCTCTCTCTCTCTCTCTCTCTCTCTCTCTCTCTCTCTCTCTCTCTTCCGCAAATGAATGACTATATATAATATGTTGTTCTCTATTTTTAATTGACTTCGAAAAGATTAAAGGAGATTGTAATGAAAATTGCCACATATTTAGTTGAAAATAAGTGACATCAAAAAAAATGTTTTTTCAGGAATCTGCTACAAAGTGGGCTGCGATTGGATCGTAGATTCAGAGAAGGAAGATGATGCATGTGGGGTATGTGGGGGTAATGGCTCTGATTGCAAAACAGTAAAAGGCATCTACAACAAGGGCACCACCAGACAATCTGGACTCAGTGAGGTAAGATTTGTGGCGAACAAGCTAACGGCCCACAAGTTGGAAACCGTCGCTTATAATCATAATGATGATATTTAATCTTCTGATGACTGGGGGGTAAAGTCATTCCATTGAACATATTTTTTTTCAGGTTGCTGTCATACCAGCTGGATCAAGAAACGTAAAGATTCAAGAAAAAGTCAGTCCTGGTAACTACATTTCAATTGGAAGCGCAAAATCGAGAAAGATTTATCTTAGTGGAGCACGGTACACTATAATTTTTAACTCGTAATTTTTTTTTTATAATAGGTTGTAGTTCTTGTGTTATAAAAAATCGAGTAAAATCAAGAAGCATCCAAAAAGTCGTATTCGCACTTACATATAATTAGATTCTCATTGGAACCAATGTGGTAATTAAATATTACATTGCCCCAATCAAACATTAAAACCAGGACTGTCATGCGGGACACCATATCTACCGCTATTAGTATTCCATAGGTATCTCTTATGAAATCATTTAGTTGATCATATATATGTCTGTATAAACCTTTTTCCATGTAATAGATAAAGATATGAGAGCCATAGGAATACATTCTTTATTGTTATGAATATTTATCATAAAGCTATTTAGGTATATTAAGTAGGTAATTAGGTATAGATTGAAGTATTTCAGTCCTATAACTTACTTCGTTGGTTAATTTTAAATTAATTACTATTTTTCAGAAATACCGCGCTAACGGAATATTTCGTAGCAGGATCCCAAGCTATATACGAACGAGACCGCGATTGGGAGAAAGTAAGAATACAAGGTCCCATCGCTGAGGATATTAAAGTTTATGTAAGTTTATAGTATGTGTATTTTAGAGTCATGTTCTCATATCACTTTCTCTCCACTGCCATTGGATAAAACTCTATAAACATTGTTAATACCCGGCTTATTTAATGCAGACAAGAAGCAAACAACGACATAATCTTGTATTAACAGGATAACACGGTCATACGCCTTACCTTTTAGTGGTGTTACTAAGGTGAAGAAACCAGACACAAACGATGAGCTCATTAGGTTCTGGGTCAAGATCTAGAACGTGTACATTTAATACTGTGATAATATGACTGCGTTAACCGCTTATTGTCAAGCGGATCGTAAACTCTAGCTCCACAGTAATAGATCGCTCGAACACCGCCATATCTATATTTATTTTTTGGCAGACTGTATTCATTATACCGTAGTGCGAGAGCGGGTTGATTTCAAAGAACGTATCAGTGTAAAAATAAAAAACAACATACTACATTATTTTTATTTTTAAAAAGATGATAAGATGGTTAATAAACCCGCTTGTACTAACTGTATACGCTGACGGGTCACCAATGATGATAAATGAGTTTGTCAAGATTTAACCATGGTAGGTTACCAAGGGATACCATGTAGAGGTCGACATAATAGGGTAAACTTACAATAAACAAATAAATCGTTAATTCTCATTAGTATACAATTTCTTCCTCCCGTTATTACCACGTTACTAGTCTAGGTCTGTGGAAAATAATGTCTGACTAAAGAATAATGAAACTGATGTGAAAATAAAAGAACACAAACTTACTTCCATACTTACAATGACCTCAATTTATGATGACGTCATAATAATATAAAAATTAAATTCAACCAGCACTATTTCATTCCTTGTCCTGTACTACGATTGGTTCCCGTCTCCAGAGGAGGCTTATTGACAGGTCACCTGATCGATTTAATTACGTATTGGCCGAGTAAATCCATAGAAAAGGCGTATCTGCCTAAATGTATGTACATATATGAAAACATAGAAATAGAGACCCTGGCCGTAAGGAACCGCACGTAAGGGAAAGAATAAGACATCCGACATTGATCTTTGTTTCGTTCTATCTTATTCACACGCAGATAATAATGTATCTATGAAGGATTCCTTTGCTACTTGTCTAGAAGTACTGGAATAACGCATACAATCACAGGATTGGCGATAAAAAATGTACTTATTTCCCAGCAACGAATATGCCGTGGCCTTCATCGCAACCCTGGTGTGACGTACCAGTACACGGTGGACCGTGAGCGGCAGCGACAGTTCAGGTATCGGCTGTCCGAGTGGTCCCCCTGCTCGGTTACCTGCGGCCTTGGCTACATGCGACGACAACACGAATGTGTCGATAAAAATAACCGTAAGTTCTATTCCATACTTACAATGACCTCAATTTATGATGACGTCATAATAATATAAAAATTAAATTCAACCAGCACTATTTCATTCCTTGTCCTGTACTACGATTGGTTCCCGTCCCCAAAAGCATTTTAAGATAACTTTGAGTGATTATAAGAATTTTCTGTTTCTTAATTTAAATATGTCAGTTGTGTTTATCAGTCAGAATTAGAATCCAATTTATGTTATACGTGTTTCCTTTCACCAATTTTGATAAAACATACACCTATTTTCACATTGAGTTAAAATCTACTTAAATTATAAAATTTAGTCCAAATTCATTCAATCGTTTCTCGTGATGATACGGCATTAGGTGTGTAATGTTAACAATGGTCCTGTTCATGTCTATAGGCGATGGTTACCACTTTCCATCAAGTGAGCCATCAGCTTGTTTACCAATCTAAGTCGCATAAAAATATAATGAATACAATAAATAGAAATTCTAATAAGAACTGACTCGGATTCTTTTGCTTATTTCATAAGTAACAGGTTCATGGTTATTGTTCATGACTGTCAAGGACGGTTACCACTTTGTCACATAGTTTAAAAAACAGATAACTGATATGGAAGAATGGTTCTCCAGTGGCGATCCCGTACGAGCAAACGTATTGTAAGATGACCCCTAGTTGGAATGACGAACTCAAATACATTGCAAAGAATCAGTGGATGCAACTGGCTCAGAACCGTTCCTTATGGTAATCTATAGAGAAAATCTTTGTTCAACAATGGACAAATATCGTGATCAATCGGACCAATATGATGATTATGATAATTAAATGAGTTGTCATGTTAGCCATTCCAAGGTCTATAAAAGAAATAAACTAAAATTAATACCTACACAGGGCTGGTGGAGCAATCACAGTGCTATCACATCGAACAACCTCGCCACGAGGCTCTGATGCAACAGTGCCGCCAGCCCAGCTGCCCACCGCCGTCGACCACACCGTCGACAACTCAGTCAACGAAGACTCCACAGGGACGAGTGTTCTGGCTTACAGGGTCGTGGAAGCCGTGCCCTAAAGTTTGTTACATGCCGGTAAGTATTAAAAGTGTCATTGAATTTACTTGACCCATAATCTACATAAACTTAAATATTACTTAATCGTTTATAGATGTCATGTTATATATTTTATATAAGTCCAATACTTATATTTTACTTTTTTGCTTTGAAAACATTCGCATCCTTTTAAGGGAGTGTTTTATTGATGTAACTAAATAATTTTCCTGAAGATTTCTTCAGGAATATATTTACATAAGTCGAAAAAGAACAAAAAAACTACTGACTAACTCTAACTGTCAAAAAATATGGAAAGCTAGCAAAACTGCGAACCATATAATCATTATCTAGTACCTGGTTAAGTTTGTCTGATGGAGAACATGCTTATATACCATAACACAGGTCTGACCTTCTTTTGGATATAAGTGCTATAATTTTCAATATGTAAAACAAATGCGATTGTTTTCAGTTTTTTTTAATAATTACATAACTGATATACTGATAACTGATTATGACAAGTTACTACTATTATTACGCTACTACGTAAATTTCTGCGTGTTTTTGGTTATAACGCGTGGGGCATGTGTAACCAAAAACTCCATACTTGCCCATTTATTTATACGTACGTAAAACCTGTAAATGTCAAATCTGTCATAAACCTACTTAAACTTTTACAATGTTTTGTCATTTTCTTTCAGATTGGGAATTTTGTGTAAAAGAAAGAGACATAACAATTCAATAGCTAAAGTAGGTTTAAGAGAGGTTTGACGTTTTTAAGAATAAGAGATTTAAACTGTTTCTACTTACTCTAATGTCATTATATAATTGAAGCTATTATTTTGCTAAGAATCGAAAATTGGCTATTTAACAAATCAATTTCAATGTCATTATTATTTCCGAATATATAGATTAGTATAAGTGTGCTATTATAGATTATAAATTATACGGTAACTTCGCTGCAATCATATCATTGTACGATACGTTTACATATTTCAAAGGGTTTATAGTTGTTTATTATTTTCGTTTGCAGGGCGAAGAAGTAATGAAACAGCGCGCAGTGTACTGTGTCGACAGATTAACGAACACTGTTATACACGATTTACATTGTGATCCGGCAACTAAACCGAATAACACAGTCAAATGTAATGTACCGGCATGCTAATATACCAACGATGGGAAAATATAGTATTTCTCGTAGTGAAATTGTGATTAAAAAATTAATTAATCATGCGAACAAGGTATGAATGAAACATCAGAAAGATAGTGATAGTAAGAAGGTGAGTGCAATCGTGTAGTTGAGTGATAAAAATGTACCTAAGGTGTAATCGGGTAATTGTGATATTCCAAAAATTACAAATACATCGCTTTAACAACAGAGCTTTACGCCAACCACAACAGAACCTTAGACGCCATTCTAACACATTTTCTCGATAATATTGACTTAAATTGCTACTCAAGTAGTATTACTGCTCGAAGCCACATTTCGCATTTTTTCCAAAATGACGTATACACATTTGAATTAACCTTATCTCAAATGTAGTAATAGTACCTACCTATGTGAGATTGTATACAATTAATATAAATTGTTGTATAATATTTTCTTTGATTATATAGATAGAGTGTCTCTATACAAATGCTTCGAGGAAAACGGGTCAACCTTTTCAAAAAATTTTGCGCGATAAATAGTTATGAATGTTTCCAATGTAACTTCTATATTTATTTTGTTTTATAATTTTTGCATCTTTTTAATGCGTAAAACTCATTTTATTTATTAAATAGTTAAATATAGATACGTCAAGATACATTATGTGCGTAAGTTAATTTTAAACCGTGAATTGATTTGGCTAATTATATAGTGACAATTAGCTGACAAAAAGTTAATCCCTTTTTGACACTCGATTCTCTATGTATATAATTTAAGAATATTCTATATTATTTGTATATAATTACTAACTATAAATATAAATAAAATCCATGTCATTCAGAATTACCGGAACATATTACAAAATTACACTTATAATAAAAAAATACCAATGCTGATTGGTTAATTATAATAATTACCTACTAACGTCTAGTCAATTTTTCTTAAAGCTTTCGCAATTACCCGAATGAACCTTATAATTAACAATTAGCGAGCACATGCCACCGATTTGCCTTTTAGGGCGAAAAAACTTGACAAGAGTAGATTTTAAAATGTTATATGTGCGTAAATGAGAAACCGATGAATTGTTTGTCGATAGTATAAATCGTTAGTGTTTTAAATAAGCTCTCAGTGAACTGAACAGACGCCGATGTTGTAAAATGTAATTAAAAAAATTGTTACCCCCCACTATCATTGTGCTATGTGTTCATATAGGAGGATCAAATATATTCATATCTATTTTTTTATAATATTTTGTTTACTAAATATATTTTTTTTATAAAAGATAAAGTATGCTTAAACTGCCATATTAATACTTAAGTTTAGTTTTAACAGTCTCCGCTTAGTAATAATAAATTAATGCTACTAAGTACATAGGTAATTATTTTTTTTATTTATTACATATTCTGTAACGTCAGTATTAAAGTCATGTACGTATTTTGTTTTCTCATGAATGTGAGCGTAATTTACGTAGATTATTAATAAATTTGGACCAAAAAATTAAATCAATTACACATTGCCATGATTATGTAGTCACAGACAAATTTAGATTACTACTAAATTAAAATATTATTATAGGCTCTCAAGGTGTTTCTTGAACGGACTAGATACTTTTAATTTAGTTACGTTTGTATAAATAAACTACTTAACACCATAAGAATAATATCTGATACTCATTATAGATATACGTATAAGATGTCTGGAACGGACAAACCAGCCTTCCACATATCTCGATATACTTGGTAGTTTTGTATATATTTTTTTACTTATACTATCTAGGTACTGTGATCATTTACTGCCAATGTCACATGAAATTCTAATGTATTCTCGTATTATATATTTACCAACCAAGTACTCTTTAATGAGAGTTATTTAATTTATTTAACAAAATTATTATTTTGTTAGAGACACCTATGCACAATAGTACATGGGCGAGAACCAAATTGAATAGGATATAAAAAGAAGTGCATTTTAATTGTCGTAAAGATTGGAAGTTTGTAATTAGACAAAATAAATGTGAGTGTTTATACTATATAAACACGTTTGTAGCATATGATAAAAACTTATCGATAGAAAATTTATTAGTGTATTAGACACGAATTCATAGGGTTCCGCAACCTATTATCCAATACCACTTGTAGGTTGGCAGGTAGCTACCAATTTAAATTGTCAACTGACTTAATTTAATTTATGGGTATAATCTTGGATTAATTTCTTTTAATTAACACTACCTTTTCAAGAACATCAATGATAGGATTCTAGCAATTTAGAAAATTGTTTGTATTTTGACAGATGTGTAATGAAGAAGTTTCACCGTAAATAGGTACATATACATACATGAACAGCACAAAAAAATATCGTAATTTATGTAAATATTAGAAACTGCGTGCTGATTAAGGTCTTCAAGTAGATGTGTCACGCTTATCTTTTTTCTCGAAATATGAGATTAATGTTAATCTGGTATACTAGAAAGAAAAAGAGAAAGTATTTTTATGTAAGTAAACTTAGATTTAAGCATTTCTGAATAATCGTTGTTTCATTATTTCATTTCCCATTCAGAATGAAACATCAGGCAAGAAACTGAGGTGTTGTTTTTTTTTTTTTAATAAAATATATGTATAAAAAAAATAAATCAAATCAGTCCATATAGGCAGCGTCCGTCACGAGTATAATGAAGAGTCAGCCATCATTGCGTTAAATCGTACTTTAGGAAACTAGGGTATGAGTTTACCATGTTACATTAGACTAAGAAAAACATCATCATCAGTACATTTATTAAAAATATCAGCTAGATATAGAACAATAGGGTTAATGAATGTAGCAATAACACTGGCAGGTAGGTATGCCCCAATAAACTTCCGTATTTTTTTAATTCGTCTAAAGGTTTTTATTATTGTGAATAGGAATAATATATTCAAATTTAAACTGATTTCGCCACTTTTGTAAATGACATCAAAGACGATGTAATTTCAATCGAAATATGGACAAAGTATTTTCCAAAAATATCTACTATATCACGCGTTGATGTTATTAGATTATTATTATGATTGTATGTAAAATCCTTACAGCTAGTTTTACTTTTTCCAGTTACTCTGTTTATAGTATCCCATACAGTTTTAATTTTATTTTGATATTCTTTAATTTCTTTATATAGACAATTATAGACTAGATTTAGTGAAACATCATAAAGGTACCAACTCTGTGATGTGATATAATCATGGAGTATTTCTGTCGTAGGAACTTCGAATGACGCCCTATTTGCTCATTATACAAGCACCTGACTGTAGATATAAGGAATCAAAAACATAAGCACATAATATGAATAAAATCTTAACCATTTGTAGTCGTGGTGAAACTGTAATATACAGGCAAATAGCCAAGTTAGTTCACGCATAAAGTAACTACGGAACCCTATTGATACATCTACTTAACAAAAATATTGACAAAGACAACGCACATGTTAAAGTTGCTAGTCTTTAAGCATATTTTTTTTTTTTTACCTAATAATATAACGTGGATGAATACTGTTTTTCAGAAATTAACACAGAAAAAGTTTATATATATACATATGTATGTATATGCATTTTGAGTTTGAGTGTGAAAAAAGCAACCTAGTCTACCTTTTTCAATTTTTGTAGATTAATTTGTTAAATGTGATGCATTATTAAAGATCTGTTTAGATTTACTTTATATGTACTCAATCGTGTAATTTTAACAATAGGTATCATTAACAAATAATGAGTAAAGAAAGCCACTTAAAACTAGATATTTTTATTTATTAAAAATTTAAAAGCTAGTGGTAATTGTCTTATGTAAACGTAATTAAGTAACATCAGAATCGCTTTCATTTGAGGCAATGCGGAATCCTGTTATTAGTTAAATATTATAATACCTATATTAAAATTTAACCTATTACTATACCTAGTTGTAATAATATGTACAGAATATTTTTAAACTAATAATAATAATTCCCTTTTAAGTAATTAGATTTTAAATAAAATATCATATTGATGTTTTAAATAAGTATAATAGGCATGTATGTAATTTAGATATGAAATTAAAACGAATTTTGTTTTTAATTATTTTTTATTTATTTCCTTCGTTTTTAAGTATTACCTATTCATATTGACGTTAAAAGAAGAAACCCAACAAATTAAAAGGAAAAGTTTATATGTATATTGTTTTGTTCTAAAATCCAGCTATACTGGAAAAAATGCAAGAAGATACTTAATTTATTTTCCAAACTACTATATATTTTTTTATATATCCATTTAATTAGCCATAAAATAATGTATAACTCTGGATTTATTTCAAAAAGAAAGAAAGGATATAAATGACGTTTCTCATAAGGTTTCATTTTCATCTTCAGTAGATACGGTAAAAATCATCACAATTTTAATTCTCCTAATTTAATTTTCTATTTTAAACTACACATAGTTTTAATATTTTTTCTCTTTTAATACGTATACAAATAAATACTTCTTTATAAATATAATCCCATCAAAATAATGTCAAGCTCACAACACAGTTTTTCCACTAGAAAAAGTTGTGAGGTTTCATGTAAAACCAAGTTAGTCTCATTTATAGTGACTATATCAAAATTTGATATCTTTATTTCTATAATAATTATTTGGCATATGGATTTGGCAACATATTTTACTAATTAAATATTTTATTTTATATCTATTCCTGAGTACACTGTTTAGATTTTTTATACAACTTAAATGGCATACAAGCTGACGGCCCACCTGATGGAAAGTAGTAATGGTCAACTATAGACATGAATATTACTATAGACATAACAGAATGTACACTGTCACCCATAATACCCCACATGCGTAACCATTCCTAAGGACTAAGGTGCCTCTGTATCCTGTAATTTCATTGCCATATCCCACTCTTCAAACTGAAACACAGCAAACATAACAATTTCACAGGAAATACACGAATGGGACAGAGGTACCGAAGTACGTTTGCATCGGTACCTCTATCCCATTCATACTTTTATTCAAATATTCCTCTCTGGTGATTAGATTTACGTAGTAATTAAAATAATACATTTTGTATTAGATTATTCTTTTATAATTATGGTGTAGTGTAGTTGCCAAGTGAATATAAATATAAAGATTTCTAATATTAATAAGATTACTATAAATGAAACTGGCTTAGTTTTACATGAGATCTCACAATACAACTATTGTAGTGGAAGAATTTTTTAACATGTTAATTTTTTTTTTGTTTTTGATGGGATCTCTTTTTCTTTGTATATTTCTTTTTTCTCTTTATTTTTTTTTATGATATATTATTTTGTTCATCAGCTACATTTGTGTAGCTGATGAACAAAATAATATATTTGCACAATGAGTTATTTGAATAAACGAACGTAATTTTTAATAATTATTTCCATTTAATGAAAATTAACAATAAAATAAAAGTTTTTTTTTTTTAATTTTTTCCTTCCTTTATAGGCTAAATGCTAACTAAAATTAAAAACTTGAAGTTTATGAGATTGCTAAAATTTTTATGATTGCAGAGTGTGACAGTGATAAAATTAAAGAACTTTGCATTATTCTTCGTAAACTATACGGTATAATTATTACGTATTTTAGCAAATAACCACTTAAAAACAAACTTCTTGCTATATCCACAATGAATTTATAATTATTATATACAAAAAAAGTTTATTTTAGCTATATATATATATATATATATATATATAATTTTAATATATATATATATATTAGATATAGACTTCGACCAGTTACAGTTTGATTATATTACTAAGATAGATACTTAGGTTAGAATTTTATTTTCTAACAACTTTATGTTTTACTTTCACATAAAATGAGATACAATATCTATACATATAATAAAACTGTAGGTCGAATGTCTGTACATAGAAAAAAACGCTAAAAACCGACCCCCGGAGTTGAAGATGGGGCAAAGGGATACGCCACGTAGCCACCACCTAACTTTCCGTGGGAGGATTTAGAAGACCTGTCGTTGTCGTGTCATGTATGAGTTGTATACCTATTAACATAAAAATAAAATATTGTTACTTGTAGCGATAACTGCCCTAGTTATATAGCGATAACTAGGGCACTGAGAAGTAATGACGCTCGAGATTACGAAATTTTATTCTACATTGCTAGTACAGTATTTTCTCATCCATGATCTAGATGATGACTGTGTACGTGTTAAGCAATAACCACAGACAGTAGGGGAAAGGTATTTTTAGTAATAGGGTCAATTACATTACTAGCAATATTGCTAGTAATGTTTATTGATTAATTCTAATTTAATGGTTAATGGTCTTGTGGAATTCATCACTTTGGGCTAACTGACTGGATTTTGTCCTCACTTATTATCACTCACTGGTGCCGCACCAGTCTATATAAACACAAGTGAAGTTACCATTCTACCAATAAAAAAACTTAGTAATTAATATTTGATTAACACTAAGATTAAAATTCGTTTCGCAAAGAACTTCATGAATAACATTACATATGATGTGATGTGATGTGAGAAAGTCTCTCATTTGGGCCGTTGTGCGTATGAATCGTGGCTAGTATAGCCAACCTAGCTCCGCCCAGAAACGCAGAAGCTTCCTGGGTTCTTCACAGGCCTCACGGAGCGACCTCACCGTTCCGAGGATTTCTAAACGTTGATGGGCCACAGCCTTACATTCCAGGATTACGTGAGCAGCCGTTTCTTCGGCGTCGAAACAGCCTCGACATAGAGGGCTGTCTGTGGCTCCTATTGTGTATAAATGTTTTTTGAGGTTTTTTCTATCTAGATGTAATAAAAGTTTTGATAATCGTTGATTCAACGTAGGTACGGCCAATTTTGATTGTCTGCAATCAGTAGCCTGTATCCATCTTTGGTTTTGTATGTCAGCGGGTCTTTGACAAATCCATATTCGATATATAACATTACATATTCTAGATATATAATTAAAAATTAAAACCGTAATAATGATCTTTGCGGAAGGAATAACTCAAATTTATTATATTTTTACATTTTAGAATGCTGTTTATGAACATGTTAACGTTATGTTATATTTTATTTTTCTTATTCTTTCATATTAACTCTTTCACATTAAGATATAATGTGTAAATTATCATTTTAATTAATATACCTGTAATGCTTACAGGTATATTAATTAAAATTATTACATTATTACTACCTATAAGCAAAGGAGAGTGAAACAAAAAATATATAAAACTACTGTAATTTTCATACTTAAATAATTATTAAAGAATCACAGTATAATCATCCATATATTAAGAACTAAGGGAAGAACTAAATAAGAAACTATGACACATTAGTGACGTCATATTATGTTAACTTATAATAAACTAAACGCTACTACATAGCTAAATTTAAATTAATGTAAACATTAATAAAAGTACGGGACATTATTAATATTCTCTGCTTCCTTCAAACTTTAATTTGGTAAAGAAATTTCAAAACGCTAGCACATTATTAGTAAAATTTATCCACAGTTTAATAAGTAACTCAGATTAGTATACCAAAGACGATCATATATTACGGTATACCGTAAAATTACGCATTGATAGAAAAAAAAAACTGTAACAGCTTAATAATTAAAAACAACTTCTGTATATAATGCCAACAAATTTTTCTAAATACATATTTAAATACATATTTTCAATGTCATTAGAACAAATACAAAAAGCTATGTATAACAAAACTAAGTATTTAAAAAAAAAATTTAAGAGGCCGTCCTTTCTATGAATTGTAAATCTCCTGTTGCTTATTGTTATTTTGCATAGTTTTTATAGTAATATAATGCTAATTGGTTGCAAACGATAATATTTGAGTTCATGATGGATGGATATATATATATATATATATAACCATCGTATATGACAGAGTATATAAGAGTCATCCATCCGTCCATCATGGACTCCAAATATTATTGTTTGCAACCCTACATATATAAATCAAAAACACGTACAGAAATTGATTTAAATAATGTTGTATAAAACAACATTTCAATATTTATTCAATAACTTCTTATACCACATTGTATGCATAAGAACAAGCCGGCAAAAAATACCGTCGTAGCGATTCTTAGCAAGGATAGCCTCTTAATGCAGTATATAATATATGATATTGTTTGTTAGGAATATAGACAAATTATTGCCCACTATCAAAGATAGAATACATGTCTTTAGGCCATAGCAAAAATAAAGTCTTATTTGTACAAAATTATTTATCGCATAATTTATATATATGTATACATTTTAATTTTAAAATCTCAAAAAATTAAAGTACCGTGACATAATGTGTACTTGAACGCCGTTTCCACTGTGAGAAGGCTCCTTGAAAGTCTCTGGTTGTAGGTTTCTCAGCTGCCCCGTCGTAGCTTTTTTTATCTCATTTATGTCCCCCAAATGCCGCCCCCGAAGTACCAATTTGGTTTTTGGGAACAAGAAGAAGTCACACGGGGCCAAATCCGGCGAATAGGGGGTGTTCGGTCACCGTAATGGAAGTATAACCTAATTAGGTACTGATGATAATGTCCACAATACTGTAACATGTGTAGTTAAGTATAGTGCATAATGTCATAAATTAACAATGAAAAGAAAAATACAGTAATAACTAAAAAAGAGATCTTTCATGCAGTGTAAATTTGTCATGGACGTTCATAATGAGTTCTTATTTTGTCGTGATATTAAGCACCACTGTGGCACCACCATATAATTTTTTTCTTCTTGTTTCGTATAACATATAAAAAATTGACAAGTGAAAAACATTGACAAAATTAACTTATTACTAAATCATTATATTTTCAGCTATTTGTCTTTATCTCCATTTCCACCTTTTTTCTTCTGAAAAAGAAAATTTCATCATATCAAATTGCCACTCTAAGAAAGATGTATATTATCAGGGCTTTAGGAATAAATACAAACTATCAGTTTTACTATAAATAGAAAATAAGACTGCACTAATCATAGATTGTTACTAATTTTAGTTTTCTCGATATTTTTATGCTGGTAATTTTATTAAAAGAACTATAACTTAATTTTTAAGACGACTAAAAGTTAATTAGTCAGCATCCAAGAAATAAATAGATTAGGTACATATACTCTTGAAAATTTATACAATATTCTTGCAACTAAATTGTACAACAAAAACTAAAAGGATGGTGGTGGCTATTTAGGGATAAATCAAAAATCACTTTCATGGGATTTAAAAAGGTATTTGAATCGCAATATGATATATGTACTTCATAATAAAAAATATATAAACCATCGAAATGAATGGACACCCTGCGTCGAGAGCATAATACAAATAATGGGCTGTTACAATTTATACGAAATTATAGTATGATTCGGGCGATATCCAGAGGACTATATTAAAACCGATTAAAGGCAAACCAATTTGCAGTGATGTGCGCTACACTCGCGAGCAACCAAATCGACTCAACCCTTGACGGCGCACATATGAAAGCTGAAGAATTATGCTCTCATTTAACATCCATACCTTAAAAAAACTTAAGCGCTGATATAATGACGCATTTTAATTGGGCATCGGGGAAAATTTACTCCATAAGATATCAACGAGTTGCGCTACCTGTTCCCGCTATAAAACCCGCCCACACCCGATTTTTCTTATCAGTCGCTTATCACAAATTGACCGATACACATCTCAGTAAACTGCATTCCTTGTTTTCGTGAAAACATGGATACCACACCAGAAGAAGCCGCTCAAGTTGTTGCCTTGTTGAAACAAGGGTTAAGCCAGCGGGCAGTCGCTGTAGAGCAGTCCTGAGTATACAAACGGTTCCAAGAGACTGGTGCCTTTAATCGCTGCGTAATCGACACTTTACGGGTGTTGATGTGCAGCAGGAACTGAAACATGTACGAAGGGTAGCTGTAAGCGAATGGACGGTGAGAATACGCTTGAAGAAAGGTAACTTGGTGCCAAAAAGGCCTGCGACGGGCCCTAAATTGACAGCAGGCCACCGACAAGCGCGCCTTCAATTTGCTTGAGAGTATCTTAATTGGAGCGTTACGCATTGGCGGTCGGTACTGTTTACTGATGAGTGCAGAATGTGTCTGCATGGCAGTGACAGGAGAAGCCGAGTTTATAGGTGTCCGGGGGAACGGTTCTCCCAATACTGTTTTGCTGGAACAGTGGCGTATGGCGGCGGTTCCTGCATGATGTGGGCTGGTATTTTCTTAGAGGGAAAAATTGAGTTTATTTTCATGCCTGGGGGCGGCCGATGAGGCGGGCTAACAGCTGATCGGTACATCATCGACATTCTACTCAATCATGTTTTTTTTTTGATGGGTGAAAATGGTATGGTAACCCCGCCTGCGTTAACGGGATACGCTACTCGATCATGTTGTGCCCTACGTAGGGTTTGTAGGCAAAGAGTTCGTGTTAATGCACGACAATGCCCGCTGTCACACGGCACGAGTCATTTAGCAGTTTCTTGAAGAAGTCGAATTGCGCTCGATGGACTGGCCTGCGCTCAGCCCGGATATGAATCCCATTGAGCACTTTTGGGACAAGTTTAAAAGAAGAGTTCGGGCCAGGAATCCAGTCCCTTCAAGCGTAGACGAGTTAAAGACAGCATTGTTAGAAGAATGGGACGGCTATCTTCAAGAAAATGTCAAAAAATTGATAAGATCGATGAAAAACAGACTGCAGGCTACAATAAAGGCTAGAGAGGGCAATACGAAGTATTGATTTAATATATATATTTTTTTATTTTTACCATATTTTGTTTAATTTCCAAAATACGGGACCTAGGTCTATGACCTTTTCCTAAATTCCAATTTTTCCTACTCTTACGTTCAGACATCATTTACTTAAGAAATAATTGATGTATTTCAATAATTATGATATTAAATTAAAGCTGACATCTTAAACTTTCGATGGCCATATCATTTTTATAATTGACATTTGTCGTTTTAGTAAATACATATGTGCGCCGTCAAGGGTCGAGTCGATTTGGTTGCTCGCGAGTGTAGTTGCATATAAAATAAAAACCTTAATGTTCGTTTATATATTTATTGCTATTTTTAAATATATTTTCATATAAAAATATTATTTTCTTGAATTAAACTGTTCCTGTACTTGACTCTTTTGATAATATTGCTTCAGACGATACATCAAAACGTATATTTTTCTTTTTAGTAGGAAATTTCTGAAATAATATGCAAAGAAATAACCTAACTATATTCTTTATAAGTAATACAAGTAAAACTATTTACGTTACCTTATCTTTGGCTCTTGGATCTGTATTTTTGGAGCGCTCCTTTTCTAGGTCGGTGTGTAAAATAGCTAGTTCAGCCGTAAGCTCTGCCTGCACGGCACGCAACCGTTCCACTTCAACTAGCACTTCTGCTTTATCTTTCACTGCAACAGAATATAGTGAAAACTAAGTAGGTAAGGTATGCAAGTTATATAAATAATATCAAAAGTCTACAAAACCATAAGAATAAATAGACCAGCTAGACGTGATACGTGGGACACTCAGAAAGTTTTGCGACACTAAAAAAAAATTTCTATAGGTAAATATATTTTTATTACATCTTTTCAAAGTACGCTCCACCAGCTTCTATGCAAAGTTTCATGCGTCTGAACCAGTTTTCGATAAACTTTTTCCAGTCCGCCACAGACACCTCGTTTACAGCCTGCTCGAACGCTGAGAGCGCATCATTCGGCGACGAAAATTGTATCCCTTTGAGCCGACTTTTTATTTTTGGGAATAAGAAGTCACACGGTGCTAGGTCAGGGCTGTAATTTGGCCGGTGTGTTGTCTAGGAAGTCCCTCGTTTTGATTGCGGTGTGGGCGGGCACATTATCGTGGTGAAGCAGTAGCCCGCGGAGGCGTGTTTAGTCGCTTTTTGTTCACAACAGAGAAAACTTCTGCCTAGCATTTGGTAGTATATCATTCAGCGTTAATGCTTCTTTGGTTTCGTAAAAAAATTGACACCAAGTAGCCAGTCAAATTGAAAAAGCTCGCGATCAAAATCTTCCCCCCGCTTCTAGGTCGCTTTACTTTGGTAGGCATTGATTCATTTTGAAACCCCCAATCCGTCGACTGGCGATTTATTTCTAGATCGTATTGATAAATCCAGGATTCATCACCTGTAACGATGTCGTAAACACGGCGAGACGAGCCTGCTTTATATTTATCTATCATATCATGGCACCATTCCACCCTTGCCTGCTTCTGAACATCGGTGAGGTTGTGCGGCACCCAGCGTGAAACTATCCTCCGCACCCGTAGATGCACATGTAGAAGCCTTCTCATGAAGGCTTCCTGATCCAATCTGCAATATATGCTGAATCTCTTGGTATGTAATTCGTCTATTGTCTTGGATCAAGCTTTTCACTGCTAGCACGTTTTCTTCCGTAACAGCCGTCAAAGGACGACCACTTCTTTCTTCACCCCCAAAGTTAGTCGACCGCGCTTAAATTCATTATACCAACGATACACGGTAGAAGGGCTTTCATCCATGAATGCCATTTGAAGTCTATCGTACGATTCGTCCGGTTTCAGGCGACACTTAAAATCTTAAAAAATCATACCTCGAAAATGTTCCCGACGCAAAATCCATTTTTGAATGAGACACGGTAATTTTAATTAGCCCGCAAAAAATGAGGAGGGAAGTTTTGAATTTAGAGCGTACCTATTTTTACTTACAAGTAATCATATTTTTAAATAAATTATAACTGGCCAGTCTCACATACTTAAAAACTTTTTCTCGCAATACTTTCTGAGTGACCTGGTAAACATATATTTTATGAATACGGCAATGGCGTCAAAATGCAACTGCATGCAACCTTCTTTAATACAGACTCCATATAGGTTGAAAAGGTTGTCGCAAATTTATTTGCATTAATAAATAGTGGAATCAATTCTAAAGTGCCATTTCTAGATAGAGAAATGGTACATTAGAATACCCAATATTTTAATCTAATAATATCACAAAATTACTGTTTTATGGACCGTCATAAACTGATATTATAATAATATACACTTAAAGGCATTAAAAAATTATCATATTGGTCCCTACAACAAAGATTTTGTGGTGATATAAAATTGAAATTTTAATTTTAGAGACAGGTTATGAGAAATGGTACCTCAGAATCAACCCCATTCTTACAACATGATGATCGCTTGCGCGCGAAAGAAATTTACGCTCTCACTGCGGTATCTGCTGTTTGCAAGATCTGATTTAGCTCTTAATAGGACATTGTCTATCAATGCGCATACATACCTCGTTATTGAATTCACGAGATTGTCAGTTTTGCTTGAATATTTATTCTTGTAGATAAACCAAAGAACTCAAAATTCAGAGCTTGTTTTTCAATTTATGAAAATGTGCTGAATTCCAGTCTGAATTGAGCACTTCCCCATGGATTAATAGTGGCTAATTGACATATTTAAAATTATTTTCTAGAAGAAAAGGATGGCGGGGAAAAGAGGTGCCCTAAAAAAGGCACAAAACATGTCTAACAGTTGATTATTAGACATGTCTTTGCACATAGTTAAAAACTCACTTTCGCCTTGTCCTAGAATGTTGCATAATTTCTTATTTCTTGACTTCACTGTCAGCAATTCCTGCTTAAGAGTAGTAATCTCTTGCTTTAATGCAGCTATTTCTTTGTCTTTTTTCTCAAGTGCATCTGCAAACTGAACTCTAGTAATTATTTCATCTGGAAGAGTCTGCCGATGTCGAACTCTGTCATTGATTTTGTCTTTTAATAGTTCACTTTTAGCATCATCTTTAATTCTTTCAAAAAATTCTGTATCTTTGCCTGCAGAGTTGATATCTTCATTAGTATCTTTGTCATCTTCATGGTTAACTGAAACCAAATTATCATACCATTTTAATATGGAAGTAATGTTTTTGTTTGTTTAATAATCCAACTAAATAAGTATCACTGCCTTATCTAATTCCGTAAAGACTTTGTAATGCAACATAATTGTCATTCAGTACGAATGATAAGAAAGTTCCATCTCAAGATGTATAAAACTTTGGGTCTAGAGAGTACCAGAAGCAATATGAACTTGATAAGGATTACATCAGACCAAATTATTTAAAATAAACGTGTAAATAGAAACACACACATACATTAAACCTTTATTCATAAAAAAAATCAGACCTTTTGTTTTTTTTTTCTTAGCTGAAATAGTTGTGCAGGACAATTTAGTTTTTATGAATAAGGATGTTAGGATTTATCTACATACTATTATTTTCGTGCCTACCAAAACCAGTGGGTAACTGTCATCAGGAGTTTTAGAGAGTGCCATGATACAATATAGTCCATAGTGAAGATAGTGATCTTTATACCGATATATAGATGGTGGCTACCACATTACTCACTGCCAATGATCCATAGAGAGAAGTTTGACAAGAGTAAGGAAACAAGGCAAAGTAAAATGTAGCATAATAAAGGAAAAAACCAAAGTTATATAATAACCCGAATTGACCAATAAAAGAACAGATAGATAGATCACATCATCCATGATTCATAAGAAACATTGTGCAAAAGTGTCACTGACTGGTATCCCAGGGATGGCAAGAGGTGTAGAGGATACCAACAAACAAGATGAGAAGATGATCTTAAACTCATAGTTGGAAACACACCATTGAATAAGGATAGCATATGAGAAGCCCCAGTGGAAATTGTTAGAAGAGGCCTATGCCAAGAGGCAAACTGAACTTAGGGATATACTGTAACAAACAAGTTGTATTAAACTTAGAAGTTTATAATAAAAAGGCTTATTATTATTATAATTACCACATTACAAATAATTATGCTATATATTTATATTATTCTAAAAGAAAGATCCCACACCTCATTTTACTTATATAACAATATAGTATATATTCTTACATTTAGGTTCATCACCAGTACTCATTAAATCATTGAACTGATCCAAACTCATAACATTTTTCTTTTTTTGTTTCTTTGAGCCCGATCGTACATTCTGTTCTTCTATTTTCTTCTTAAGTTCTGCTTCTTTTTTCATCTGCTTATAAACATCTTTTTTTTCTTCGTAATCAAGTTTAGATAAGAGAATAGCCTGTAAATATTGTTTAATTAGAATAGGATTTTATTCTGCATTTATTTCAACCAGTTACACATAGACTGTAAATAAATTGATCAAAAGTGGGAATCTTTCAATCAATGTTAGTTAATCAGTTACAGCTTTCAAACATATTCTTTAAGTATGATGTTTTAATTCTCTCTGAATATTTTAATTGTTTTTAAATTACTGTAAATTCTGGAATAATAAAAGACACCACCACAAAACCACCACCACTTGCAGTCAATAACATTCTTTTTATTAACAATATACACATTTATTCAAGAAAAATGTTTATTTTGGAGAAGATCTGACCAATACTTCACAATTTATGAACATTGATTAACCCACCTGTTGCAATTCTGATTCAAAATTTCCATCAACAAGTTCTTCATCTTTCTGTTTCCACAGTTCCCATTGATCTGCAGAAGGAGTATTTTGCTTAGATTTCTTCTTCTTTGTAATAGCCTATAAAGGTAAAACGGAATTGGCATAAAACAATGAGTTTAATATTATAAGAAGAAATTCATTTTTGTTTCATTATCATCATCTCAGCCATTACTCAATCTAAAACTCATCAATCGCAAATTAATACAACAAAACATGAAAAATTACTCAAATATGATTAAAACTACTTGAATCATTTTTCGTTTAAGTTAGGAATTTTCTCCAAAAAGTTAACATTTACATACCTACCCAATTTGTATTTATTTTGCCTAAGCAGGGATTTTTTAATGTTTCGAAAACATACCTGGGTTTTATTGTTTGTTTTTATTTTTTTGGTGGGCTCAGACTTTTTGGCAGTGTTTGTTTTAGTTTTCTTAGATTTCTGACTATCGCCAGTTGTAGGATGATCGTCATCCTCAATTTTCAATCCAGCAAAACGCGACTGAACTACTAAAGCAGCCATTTTCCGTAGTCTATCCCTTATTAATTTACACAGAATCTGAAATATAATATATTATAAACACAATATAATTAAATTGTATTAAAGATATTCCTAATAAAAAAAAAAAAAAAACAATATGTAAACAATAGTATTTTTAAGGTAGCAAATAATTATCATAACATTGATGGGTATGAAATCGATGTTAGTCATTACTCATTTAATCCAAATACGATAAAGTCTCCAATACCTTATATATTCTAATTGAAAAATAATGTGGATTAAATAGATTTTGAGGAGTAGAAACAGGAATAAAATTAGACAAAGTAGGTAGATTAATTAAACCGGGTGCCGAACACACAGATTAGAAAGACTACGTCTAAAGTCAGATATTACATTTGAGTAGTGATGTCATATGCGATTATAATAATTCAACCATGGATGATAATATATTACAAATTTGTTTTACTAAAATAATCAATTCACTTTAAGGTACTAATAATATTTACTAAAGACTCAACTCAAAAAGTAAAATAAATATATTCTCAATTCATTAAAAATTTCGAATTGATTAATTTAAATTACAATTTCAATACAACAACGTTATAAAGTCCAAAGTTAATTTATTATACTCTATTAATATGTTTTGTTTTATATAAATGTAAATAGTTTACTGAAATTTAATTTACATTATAATTTATTTTGATTATACTAATGAACTAATATAAATATCTTAAACAATTATATTTAATAAATTATTATTACTTATTAAGATATTTTTATATGTGTAAAAGCAACGTAAAATAGTGTGTAAACTGTTGTCAGAATAATTAAATCAATCTACGTTACTATAAAAAAGTCTGCTGTTCTATTATTATGACAGTTGACACTGACAAAATGGTTGGTCATTTTCGCGGTTTTTGTTTGTTTTTTAATACTGTCTAGTGAGGTAGATCTTAAAAGACTTTTTAAATTATATCTGTTAGGTAATTTTTGTTGTTCCATTATATCGAATAATGAAGTTAATTTGTCAAATATTTATTATAAATAGATTGTATAGTAATTTAAATATAAGATGTAATGGAAAATATTTAAAATCAACTTTAGCGCTAGGCCAGGACCCCATAATAAAAAATGAATATTTTCTAATACATTTTTCTTCTGTAAATAAAACTGGTACTAAATATCGAGTTAAAAATATAAAACAAGTTTTTGTAAAATATTTAAGTGAAGGTAAAGCAACTTTGAGATTCGAAGAGCCCCCACATGATTTGTGCATAAAAGGCGAGACAATACAATTGAAATGTTTCATGCGGCTTTTGAAATCTTGTGTGTCTGGTGATACTAAAGAGCGACATTTGCCCAATCTTTCGAATATCAGTGTCACTACTAAAGAGAGTGTCCCAACCAAACTTATAATCAATGACCGAAGTGAATTTCCTTCTAAAGGACTACCGCGGACATTAGAAACTCTACATATTGTTGGGCTAAAACTATGTAACTTTCGTAGAGAAATATTATTGTTAAAACATCTTGTAGTCCTTGATTTAAGTAACAATGAAATTGAAACCATTCCAGCTGAATTTGGTAAGTTTTGTGTTTACTAGTAACATAATAATTATTATCATATTTTGATTACAACTACAACTTTATATTTTGAAGGGAGAATGCCAAGTTTGTGTGAATTACATCTAGCCAATAACAAACTTGGTGTAAATGGAAAAATTGATTGGAGATGGCTATTTGGACCCCAGGTATGTGAAGAAATATAAAAAATAAGCAAAATAAAAAAATGGTTCCTGTGTTCCTATTATAATTATATTTGTTTTTTATTTGCAGCTTATAAAAATGTTGAAACTATTAGATTTGTCTGGTAATAACTTAAAATATTTGCCAAAATGTATTTGGAAACTACAAAAATTAATAACCTTAAAGCTAGATGATAATATGTTAAACCAATTGCCTGCCACACTAGGTCGTATAAATAGTTTAAGGTAAAGTATTATACATATCTTACTGTTTAATTTAATTTGATTTATTTTAATTTAATTTTACATTAATTTTTGTTATAAAAAATATATTAACAACAAAGAACTGTGTCCCAGATAGTACGGGTTCTGGGCCATTACGAGTCCCGAAGTAGCTTATATATTATTAGATATTTCCTATATTGATAGAATATATTGTTCTTATGAGTGTATTTGGTGGGGACACCTCATTAGCAAAAGAGTGTTAGGGTGGCAGGAACCCATTTCATTTATGAAAATATTACCTGTAATCTATCTGTGAAATATTATAGACCACTGTAATTCTCTTTACGACCAGAGTACCACGTCACGGTGATGGTGGTAATGGTCAAAATTTAAACTTTGAGGTAGACAAAAATGAAAGGAAAAGACTTGATAAAATCTTTTTATTGTACCTGCAAAAATAAGGCTCAAAATATAGGCTGTTGCGCTTGTTAGATATTCAAATTATATCAATTTTCTTAAACATCTTGTGTCAAAATATGTACCTATATTTATTAATAAAAATCAATCTAATTAATTTAAATATAATATTAAAATTGTTATTATATCAAATTTTGTAATGAATTATTCTTGTTATGTTATACACATTACAAGAATAATTCATTATTAACACTAATTAATATTTTAATTGATTTTATAATTTTTTATTATCATGATACTTAAATAAAATGTAATTAAATTGTAAGAACATGTGGTCTCACTGACTTGTTCACTCGAATGCAGCCCTGTAGATATAAAAGATTATTATTTGGGTGGGAAGACACTTCTTGTTCAACCTTTGAACAGAGCGGAGCTCCCTGCCGTATCAAGAGTGAACAAGTATAGTGAACCACATGGTCATTTTATAAAATATAGCAACTATTATTTCGTATTTAGAGTATGCAAGGTATCTGACACAACCAATAAAACTTACATCAACAGAAATGAGAGACATTTTTATAATATGGTAGTTCTGATTAAAAATCTTCACAGATATAATTGTCAATTAAGTCATCAATGTTGGGTTGCCTATAAACATACGCCCACTGTGAATAACAATGAAACAATTTTTCCTTGATTGTATTCGTTAGTATGGGATTCATCAGTGGACGCACCATGACCCAAATCGGGACACGGTTCTTTACTATTCAGTATTTACTTACATACTGCTTAATAATATTGATCTTTTTTTGTTTATCTAAAAAATTACAAATTAAAATTCATTAAAAAAAATTTTCCAATTATTCATATTTCATCAATATGTAGATACCAGTTTTAAATTCAACATTGTTTGAAATTTGTTTTTTATGCCCATTGGAATGGCAAATAAGTTGATCTGATAATATGTGGTAAAGTTGCTTATAGATATCACAAAATACACTGTGATGGCTGTGTTATCTTTCAGTCATTTCAAGTTAGTAAGATATTATTCATTTACACTCTATTATTAGCAGTATTTTAATCATAATCTAATAAAATTCTTTACTATGTATGTACATGGAAGAGCTTTAAGAAATAACTTTATAATGAACTCTTAATAAGACCAATAGATGTCTAACAAAAATTTTTAGAAGACTTCTCTGTATGTTACTTCCAGTATCACACGAAAATTAAAATAGGATACAGTTTACACTACTGTGGAAGAAATTGTGTTATTTCTAAAGATGTAACTTATAATCTGGTTGATATGTTATCTTAATGTGTCATTTAGAGGTAGTCTGTTTAATTAGTGCTCCTACATATACAAAGTAATGGGCCAAAAGCTAGTAATATATAAAAATCTTGTGTAACAATATTCATTCGCACTAATCTCTGAGCTTGTTCAAACAATTTTAGTCATGTAAATGTGTATTGTTTGTTTTAACTTAAGATATTGGATGATTTTCCTAATAAGAAAAATTTACCTGGTGGGGGACAGAAGAGTGTTCGCTAAATCAGCTGTTATATTATTTTTATCATATTTGTTTTCAGATATCTTACAATTTCTAAAAATATGTTGTCATCACTCCCATGCAGTCTTCTTCAGTGTCATTTGGAATATATTGATCTCTCTTCAAATAATTTTCATCATAATAATATCACTTCACAATTGCAAAGAAATCTTTATAAATATTACGTAGGCAGTTTAGTACATCTGTCATCCGAGATTGTATTAAGAAACAAGTTTTTCTATGCATCTAATCTTATTCCATGGACATTGGTTCAGTTCTTGGACGATGCAAATATGTGTGTTTGTGGTGCTCCAGTAGTGAATAATAAATTTTATGTGAATAACAAATTTGAACTAAAAGATCTTTTTAGAGTTGTAGTTTTTGATAATAATAGAAATAGTACTGTTGATTTCGAATGTTACTATTGTTACAAGTGTTGTAGGCGATAAGTGGTTTTTTTTTTTCATAATAAATTAGTAATATGTTAAAACTATTGTCATTATCTTTTGATATTTTATAAATAAAAGAAATATTTATTATTATAATTGTTTATTGTAAAATTGCACCTATTTACAAACATTAATAGGGAAATTTAAATAAGATCCAGTTTCCAATTTACATCTGTAATGACAGGACTTATTCTGATATGAGGTTCTGGAAAAAAATATGATTACATTGTTAATGTAAATGATGTAAATGTTAATAATGTAAATGATAATATTATTAACCCCTTCAATATGTACCAAAGAGGTACTTTAGTACAGAATCTAAAGTACCTCTTTGGTTTGATGATTTATCCATAGCATTAAAATTGAAATTTATGCACAATTTCTATTTATTAGTCTTAAAGGCTTAGGGTTGAATCTAGGTAAAAAAGCAGTAAAAATTTAAAATACATGTTTTAGGTCTAACTTTGTGTTAGACCAGTGTCTATTTATTAAGCATTGTCAACTTACCTAAAGATGCAATACCTTGTGGTATTAAATTACAGCCTTCAGGAGTATTTTGAGCTGCAATGGAAGCATTAGTAGCTTCTATTACCAGTTCATTGGTCCAAATCTCCTTAAGATTATCCTTTATAACTGTCAGTAATTTTTCAAGTGATGTCTAAAACAATAAGTGTGCAATAATAAAGTTTAGATTAATATATTCTCCACAATAACTTACCATGAAAATAGATAAAAAGTGTTAAACCAATGCTTCCTAATCTATTAAAAAAACAGGCAACTGACATGTAAAGACTTACGTCTTTTATGCTTTAAAAAAGATTCATTTATGACGAAAATAAAATTGTTTTAAGCAATTAAAAAACATTATTATTGTCATCTTAAAATAGTTTATACCTGTAAATGAAAGGCTTCTTCATCTTTTTTAAAACAACATAAAGCTATATTAACTTCTTTCACTGGCGTTCTCAAGTCGAATGATGTGCTGACCAAATTATGAAGTGCCATTACTAATGCCACATCTTCATACTGTGAACCTTCTTTAAGAGATGCTACTTTACGCTCGTGCTTTCTTCTATTCTTACTTGAACGAAAACTCCGACTATAAAAAAATATGTAAAACAAACTTGTAAAATAGTAACATTATTACAAATAATTACTGAGTTATAACACTTGTATACCACTTTATACTACATACTTTGGGGCCAATACTGAGGTGCTTTTTCTCTAAATTTATTTCTTAACTATTTTTGTTTTATGGATCATCATAAACTACTATATGATTTAAATTTATTAGAAAATTAGTTCATTTTGGTTCTTATTACAAAGAATTCGCAATGATATAAAATTGAAATTTTAATTTTAGAGATAGGTTTAGAGAAATGAATTTAAGAATCAACCACTTTAAATTTGATTAAAACTTAATATATATAATACAACAGAACAAACTTCTGACTTTTCTGTCACAATTTTGATTAAATATAAGGATTATAATTCATAAATAATATGTAGGTAAAAAATACATTTTTATCTATAATACCTCAATATATGACCATAGGAAGGATTGGAATAACTTTACCTAAAAACAACTGAAGATAATTCTGCTTTCATCTGTTAACTGTCACTAAACGCTTTTTTTTAATATTATTTTACATCTATCTTTTTATGTTCATAAACATCTAATTTTGGTTCAAGTCTTAGACTTAGTATACCGTACTGCACTTTTAAGTATTAATATATTTTTATAGAAATTTATACCTGATAAGACTGATGTCAGTATCTTAAACTTACCTTGACCCTCTTGATGAAGAAGCCAATGTACTACCAGCATCAGAATATAAATCACTGTCCTTGTTAACATAGGAGGTATCATAGTTTTCAGAAGGTATATTTTTATTTTCTCTTACAATAAATAACCTCTCTTTGTATTTAATAAAATTACTCCAATTTGTTTCTATCAAATTTTGTAAATTGTTATATTCATCTAATAATATGGGCAAAATACGTTCAACTGAAAGTAAAAAATATTATATGTATTTTTTTATGGGTGAAAATGGTATGGTAACCCCACCTGCGCTAACGGGATACGCTAACGGAGAACCAGTGAAGGGTGATAGATGAGAATGAAAACAGGCCAGTTAGACCATTATGATGAATTCATCAGGAATTAACCATGATAGTTTCCAGGGGGAACCACGAGGAGGTCGACCTGGTTATTATTATATGTATTTGTTTCTGCCTACATTATGTCAATAAAAATCAATTCTGCTATTATTAGTTATCTTTGTTAATTCAGACTATATTATCTTAAATACTAATACACAGAAAAAATATATATTATCAAATATATATGATATAAATAACATGTTAGTTAATCATAAAGAAAAAATATCTTACCTTTCAAATGATTCATATTGTATTGAGTACAAAGTCGTATTGCAGTTTTATATTGGCCATTATCTATGGCATAATTAATTGCTTCTACATTATCATCATAATATTGTTCATAGATTTTTAAAACTTCTTGGTGACGTTTTTCTTCTTTTAATCCATTAATAAGGTCCCTGAAGTTATACATAATAAATATTATCTACTAAAGCTTTATATGTCTCCCTATCCATAATTTGTGAAATAAAACTAAGTTTTTTGGAGTGTAAAGTAATAAGTATTTATAATTTGTATTTTTAATCTTAGTCTTCTTACATAACAATGAATGTCACCTAAGATTAACATATAATTAATATGCAGCAGAAACAGTATCGGGGATAGCACTGAGCTCTGTTGGTTGCCAGCGTTAATGTCGATAGCATCGACATTAACGCTGGCAACCAACACATTAAAGCAACCATCTATAACGGGTTTTATACGTCTGCCGAACAAAAAACTGGCAATCTATTTACACAGGCTGTCAGGAAGTCCGTAGTAAAAGACAAAGATAAATCTAATTTTTAACTGGCAATCACTCTATCGAGCCTCGAAGCAGCATTTAAACCCTATCTCACATAAGAAACACGGACCCCTGCGGGTATGAGTTGTGGTCCAAGCCTCGAAGCTAGCTAGTTTAGCTAGTCTAGTTTTTCTACAAAACTGATTAAACCACGTTTGTTTGTTCGCTCCCGAAGCCACTAATAGAGATCTAGAATCAAACATTCCATGCCTACCAGTATTGCTTCTGTAATAGCAGTTGTTCAAAAATTCACATCTGATACAAAGTAGAGCTGATTCCATGGACATGAGGCATAGAACACTCAAAATACATTCTAGTTTGCTTACTTAATGCTACACGCGACCTCTCCAAGGAGGCTGGCGATATATCTACATATATTGTAAATTATGTATATTTGGTGGATAAGCAATGTTGAACTTACCCACATAAATTTTTAAGCTTTTCCTTAGGCCAGCAATGTGCTACTTTTAAAGCCAATTCCCATTCTAAAGCATCTTTGTAACATTCAACAGCCTTTTCATAATTACTAGCTCGTTCATAAATAATACCAGCTTTTATAAACTCTTTCTTCAACTTTAAGTAAAGTCCAAAATCATCTGATATTTCTTTATAGATATCTTTATCAGGAGAAAGTAGTGCTAAGGCTTCTCTATAAAGACTATGATACTTCACAAATGTCTTTAACTGATCATACTTTTCAGGTCCACATTTAACAAGACTTTGTATTGCTTTATTAAATCTCTTCAGATGTTTATTTATTGTAAATCTTCTATAGTCTTCATCCATTTCATTTAATTCATTGAGCATTGGTATATACTCCTTTGGATCCTTTTGAGATTTACTAGCTACTAATAAAACCAAATCAAAGTCATACATTCCAAGAGCCACATCAAAGAGATGGTTTACATCAACCATATATAACAAATATTTCAAAGCTTCATCAGATGCCACGGGTAGTTTTGAACCACCTGACTCTTGTACTTTTAAGTCTTTTATCAAAGATAAAGCAGTCTCTAAATCTTGAACAGTATTTTTCTTAACAAATGCAGTAAGTAGGGGTAATATTTTATTATCAGCATCTGGCCTGTGTGTCAAATGTATTCTTATGAGGTCACAAATTTTTTGGACTTTATTACCAATTTCATAATTTACTGTCGATTTCTTATCTGCATAACTACTGGAATACATTGTTCTTGTCACATCAGCATTCTCCAGATCTGATATAAAAAGGCTAAGCCATGAATTATTTTTAACCGATTCTAAAAATATATCTATATTTTGAATAAATTTCTCTGGGTTGTGATCATGTATCAAATTCAAATTTATTCTTTGCTTTCTCATTAAATCAAACGCCTCATGATATTTAAAGGAATTTAAATATTCTCCAATTATCTTTAAAGCAAGAGGTCGGGGCTGAATACTTTCTAAATTACCTCTTGGCATTTGAAAAATAGTTCTTATATCATTAGGTACTGCAATCACTAATTTTGCACCTCTTTCAATTTTTCTTCTATATACATGTTCAGATTGATTCTTCTGATATTCCATAATGGCAGATACTCCTGATTTTGTTATTTCAACACACAAAAGCAAATGTTGCAAAGTTGTCAAAAGAAGAAAATGAGTATGTACAAAAAATGAACTAACATTGTTTAAAACCACTGCACCATTTATTAATAAGTTGCCCTTATGTGTAAGACCTATAAAAAACAAATCCTCTTCGATTAAAATTACATTAAATTTTTGACATGCTACAGGAAATGAAATATCTTGTATCTGTATACTGCCTTCTCTATACTGTAATATTTCTCCATTATTTAATTGTAAAAATATTGATGAGGAATCTGTAGGATGAGACTGAATTCTTGTCACTGCTCCTGGTAATGTTGTTACATTTTGTTTTATGATTTTGTCATTATCTATATTATACTCTATTAATTGGTATCCTTGCTCATTGTCTACCATAACGCACACTAGAATGTCATGTTTAACCCAATGCCAATTATAATATTGAAATGAGAAATCATATGTATCAAGTTGCAATGTTTTAATTTCTTTGAATGTTAAAGGAAACTTTTGTATTTGTTCATAAAATACCAATTTATGATCAGTAGTATAGATATAAAAAATGTTAGACTTCCCATATTTATTGTTTAGTATATGTGGAGCAAAGTGTACAGAATTAATATAAGATTGACAATTAATTTTTGTAGCAGCCATTGGGGGTGGTACCACAGTTTGCCTGAAACTTGTTATTAAGATATTTTGTCCATCAATAACAGTAACTATTGCATCATCGTCATCAGTCTTGCCTGTACTATGATCTATATTCCATATCCATGAATATGTAAAATGTTGCCCATTATCTAGGATTACATGCAGCTTTTTGTTATTAACAACATCAAAGTCATTATCCCACATAATTTTACAAATTTTTTGATTAGGATTAAATTCTATTGTTTGCTTTAAATACCAATGGTAATTGCCTGTTGTGAACAGTAATAACTTCTGGCTATTTGTGTCTGGATTTCTGCACTGTAATGTCAATATTTCAGAGTCAGAACTCCAGACTAATTCTTCTATACAAGATGTAGTATTAATAGGTATAATAAAGTCACCATGTTTCAAACCATTCTTTTCAAAAAATGCCACAACATATTTATCAGAAAGCCTTTGTGTCGTAGCAATTACATTACCACTAGGTCGCCATGATAGATTAGTTTCAAGACCCTGTTGTTTCTCACTTGTGTATTGTAAATTGCCTTCTCTGTCAAATACTTTGAACCGTCTTATCCCATCCATCGTAAAACCTACAGCATATAAGTTGCCATCACCTCTCCATGTTATTTTGACAGTAGTGTCAGAGCTGGCATTGACATCTGCAATTATATATGAAAATTTAAATAAGTATTATACAATGACAAAAATATTTATAACAAATACAACATGTAACTTACCAGCTCTTATTTCAGATTTTAATCTTGCAGCCTGTTTACCTTCTGAACCATGGAACTGTGTTTCTTTTTTACCCCATCCAACAGTAATAAATTGCTTTTCTCCAAATTCTTGATTTAAGAGGTCAACTTCATTTATAGGATCAAAGGTACAAGACATGAGAATAGTCTTTAAATTTTTTGTTACCAAAACAAGTAGTTCTTGATCAGGGCTCCACTCCATAGCCTAACAAAATATTACTTAATATTATAAAAATGTAAAATAATATTGAGTTTAAAATTTGAAGAAATAAAAACAACAATAACAGCTACAAACTAACTCACACTACAAACTTTGGGTGTTTATTTAAGTTTATGGCTCTCTGTATTGATAAAACACCATTAACAAACCAAGTTAATTGGTTTGGCTATCTGAGATTAATCATTAGTTGTTAAGCTAATCTTATTTTAAAAATTAAAAATATCAATACAATATTATTCTATAGAGTTAATGAATAAACAGTCTCATTTTCTCTAGATAATCTAAAGGCTTTTATATTAGTAGTTTTGAGAAGATTGTAAAGGGTCACATCAATCCCATGTAAAAAGGGTGAGAGGACAGGACAAACTATTGCAAATTATAATATAATATACTAAATATGAAGAAAATCCGAAAGTGGGGACTGTTACGACTCCTGGAGATCCCAATATGTAATCTAACTCTACATTTTTCATATTAAAAAAACTGTTAATAGCCAGTAATTGCCACGCTTGGCTTCAATGGATAGTAATGGAATAGTAACCCCACCTGCACAAATGGTATACGCTGGTGGGACACCAGTGAGGAATGATGGGTGAAATGAAAGGGCAGGTCAGTTAGCCCACCATAATAAATACACCTGGAATTCAGCACAATAGTTTCCAGGGGGACCATGTCGAAGTCAACCTGACAAAATATATTGTAAAAAATGGGACTGATAGTCTGCATTACTATCCCTTTCTGCCATTGCCATTACCATGCTAGGCAGGTGGATTTACATCCGACGGTGCTGCCCATCTCTCGACCTCTCTTAGTCGGCTCTTACGCCACCCACAAGATAGGAAGCGATGGCCTATTCTATGCCGGGATCACACGGCCATATTTTACATACATATATTAAATTAGGTATCTTACCAATAATCCAACATCAAACACACCAGCCAAATCACAGACTTGACCAGAATCCCTGATAGTGAACAATTCTCCATTTTCCAGGCCTACACATAACGAACTTGGAAGAGTTAGATACGTAAGATTTACAGGACTGTTATTAGGCGATGAAGAGTCTCCAAGATTTGTATTCCATTTGACTTCACCGTTCTCATTATAACACTGTACTTGAAGGTTATATGAACAAACATATAAATCACCAGAAGAATTTATTTCGTCATGACCATAGCAAATTCTATTCAGGCTTTCAGATTCCACATGAAGATTTCGGATAGATATATCCCAGAGATATAAATTTCTCATGTTTTTTAAATCTATAAAATTACAGTGAGTCAAACATTAAAATAAATTTGGGTATCTAATACAAATACACAACACGTTTTCAGTTGAATGACAGTGACAGTCTAATGTCAGTAGTAATAGTGTCAATGTGTTCGTAATGAGAAGGGCAATAGAACTAAGTCATACAGCCTGATCTTCTGTCAGTCTAATGACATTGAGTGATATATTGTTTTTATGTTAATTTTTATAAGGATTTTTGCTTGGATCTTCTGCAATCTGCTTTAATCACTATATAGATATTTTTTTAGTTCTATAAGGAAAATGTAAAGGCTCTGCCCATACAACTTATGTCTTCTTCTGTTTGTTTGTTATACAACTCGTATATCTATTGTAATTTTTTCGAAATTATGAAATTTTCTACAGTTAGTCATCTTCAAGATTACATTCATTCGCTAACAGATACAGGGTTGCCAGTTACAGTTTTTAATTGTTATCTCAAATTTTAATTTTTTTACAAGCCAAATTTTTTTTCTCTAAAAACGCTTTTTCACTTTTACCCACTCACAAACTTATATCGATTTTCACAATGTTCTAAGGACTAACATCTTAGAGGTAGGAAATATTTTTTTTATAGATGATAATGGAATGGTAACCCCGCCTGTGCTAATGATATACGATGCCGGGGCACCAGTGTGGAATGATACGTGAGAATGAAAAGCAGGTCAGTTAGCCCATCATGATGAATACACCTGGAATTCAACACGATGGTTTCTAGGGAGACCATGTGGTAGTCGACCTATTAGGGTATATATGAAAATGATAATCTGCATCACTAACAATCCCTTCCCCCCGGCGGAAGAATATTAGTAATGCAGACTGCCGGTCCAATTGCTAGCAATATATTTTATCAGGTCGACCTCTACATGGTTTCCCCTCGAAACCATCGTGATGAATTCTAAGTATATTTATCACTATTATCTAACTGACGTGCCTTTTCATTCTCACCTTTTTCTTATACACTGGCGGGGCACCAGTGAATGATGATATCATTCATTGGTGCCCCGCCAGTGTATACCATTAGTGCAGGCGGGGCTACCATTCATCATTGTCATCCATTAAAAAAAAACATCTTTCGGGTGAAGCACAAACTATAGAGATACTAATGCAGGATAAAGTATGAGTAACATCTGGAAATCTTATTTTTCTCTGCGTTTTATATATATAGCACTTAATGCTGCACACGTGACGGAAGCTTAAAAATGGAGTAACTTCTCCCGTTTTCCCTTCACTGCTCTGCTCCTATTGATCGTAGTGTGTAAAAAGTATACTATAACCTGCCCAGGAGTATGAAGAATAATTGTACCAAGTTTCGTTAAAATCCGTCGAATAGTTTTTGTTTCTATAACGAACATACAAAAATTTTACTGATTGCATTTTTGCCATCAGTATCGATCACTAATCACCCCCTAATAGTTATTTTGGAAATATATTTCATGTACAGAATTGACCTCTCTACAGATATAAGTATAGAAGATTTGTTAATTAAAATTGATTCGCATTTTATGTTATTGTAATGAATATCTGTCGTTTGTGACCACATTTAAAACGTTAACATGTTACATTGTACATCTTTCATTAGTACATCATTATGTCAATCGTTATTTAGGAACTAAGGGTATCCACTGACACTGCGTCTATTTGTACAGGATCAGCATTTAGGAACCTTTCTTTCCCATCGGTTATCAGTTCTTTGAGTTTTGTAACCAGTTAATTGTCACTTCAGCTTGCTTATCCTTATTCATTAGTACAGTCCTATTAAAATTAAGAGTATATCCCATACGGTGTAACAGAAAAAAAAAATTAAAGAGAATCAAGAAATTTGACCTCTTGTCAGTTATTTAAAAATTCTAATACATAAACACAATTTTAAACTATAGCATTGGATACGACTTTTATTACAGATTCATGTCATATACAAGGTTTGAGTAGGTACATAGCTAAAAAAAACAAAATAAATACACTATATTTAATTTACATTCTAATGCATTTAAAACAATGAAACTTAAACATCGGGATAATATGTTGTTTCAAATTTCTTTTTATGCTTTGGATAAGGCCTAAGAGCTTTAGGTATATATGGTGGAAGATGTTCATTTAAACGTCTTTTGAATGGATTAATACCTAATTCAAATGGTCTTCGTTTTCCTATATATTTAATTTCTTTTAACTTATATTGCAACTTGTCTTTAAAATTTAGCTTTTATTTGTTTTGCAAATTGTTTGGCTCAAAGAATCTAGTTTTATGTTCAATTTTGTATATTTTTTCCCATAAGTATATTTCAGGTAACAACAAATGTTTAGGTCTGTTGGAAACTAAATGTTTATATCTCTTTTCCAACCAACATCGTTTATTATCATCTTCAATGTCAGCAATGACTTGCTCCTCTCTCCCCAAGTATGGTTTTAGATCATACTCGCGTTCTTCTGGTGTATTTAAATATAATTGAACAAGTAATTTTAACACATCTTCATTAAAACCATAAACTTTTCCATTTTCTACTTTTTCATATAGTTTCAAGGGTTTAGTACCAAAACAAATGTTATGTTTTGGGTTCTCATCTATTTTTTCGTTATGCATAAGGATTGTATTTAATTGATAAGCATAAAACGACCACAATTGGCCGTCAGTTATGATCGTCTGAGTTACCAAGGGATATGTCAAATCATTGTATGTGGTGAAACCTTGATAATTTGCTTGAGCCAAAAGCCAACCAAAACTAGCTAACATAGCTTGACAATGTAACGCTTCTAAATTATCTTCAGTACCAAATGAAACATTTCTATTTAATATATGACCACGTCCATGATAAGACAGTAATCCAAACTCATCATGATCACCAGGCCAGTAACCTGAAATTTCAAATGATACATGTAATTAGTGATAATAAAATAATCCTTTAAAAATGATAAACTTAATAAAGATTTACAAACGTGGAAGATGTGCAGTGAGGTAAGATAAGGCACAGACGATTTTAGTTAGATATATCTCTCTCTCTCTCTCTCTTATAGATCATGACTCCAAGGAGCTAAAAATCTTGTGTATTGTGACACATGTATGCTTATTTCCACAAGTGCTCAACTAATTTTTTATGGATTCTTGTGATATGACTGAAACTTGAGAGAGATTTTTTTTTTATTTTGATAAGAAAAATTAGAACAAGGTTTAATTTTTTTTATGCAACTTAGACGGCAACAACGGCCCACCTGATTGAAAGTGGTAACCATCGCCTATAGACATGAGCAGTACCATGGACATAACAGAGTATACTGTTTCACCTGAGACATCCCCCCTCCCCTGCCTTGCCATTACTGAGGACTTAGGTGTTATTCCTCTGTGCCCTGTAAAATCACTGTCATGCCTCCCAACAATATCCCATCCTTCAAATCAAAACAATCATGCAAATACAATTTCTTCACAGTTGAAACACACAGTTTTAAAAATCCTGTGTCTCGATGTTTGTTCATGTTAATCTCTGAAACCACTTAACTGATTTCAATAAAATTTTGTAAATGAGTACTGTTTGCTCCAACTATAGAAATAGAATAGTTTTTATCCTGATAACAAGAAATGGACGAGATAGGTGACAGTAGCCAATTAAACAATTTCTACCGGGCCAGATAGTATCTGCAAAAAAAATATAATATTCAATTGTAACATTACCCGGTATATTTGTTCCGTGTCTATATGCATGAAAGTAACCCACTGTGTCTGGTTTATATGTAAACTTAGGAACTTTGAATTCAGGATTTTCTGCCTCACTATATTCAAGAATAGGTTTTAATGGGAAGTGACTTCTCATTGCTAAAAATGGTGCACCTGAAAATTAAAGTATTTTTAGTGGTAATATATTTATTTATACAACTTGCAATGCTAAATGACGGATCATCCAGTTAAAAATCATACTCATCACCTACAGACATGAAATATCTGTTACATATAAATTAAAATAAATATAAATACCAACATGTATTGCAAATAGCAACATTTATTGAATTTAAATTAGTAACTAAAAGTAAACAATTAGAAAATGTTTTTTTTAACAATGCCACACATTGCCACCTAGCGCCTAGGGCGACCATTTTTTTCACTGTACCCTGTGGGGTAGAGTGAAAATAGTGGTCGCTGGCTGTGGCCAGTGCTGATCACAGAATAAGTACACTATAACCTATGATGTATCTTTAATGTGTCTATCTGTGGCGTGAACCCGTAAACAAACCTCAAAGCTTTTGAAATTAGTAGAAAATAAATAGTGATTAATAAGGCATCTCCGAGGTTGTGCACTCAGAAAAATTGAATATTGTCATTTTTTTAACAATTTGTTGAATATTTCAATTACTCACTTTCCCATACATCCATATCTAGTAATATACAATATTATATGCCATTTGTTAAAACACAGCCATTGTATGATACGGGTTCTTTGCGATAGAAACATCCATATATAAGTTAAATATATACTTTTCTTTCCAAATTTGCAAAAAAGAATCCTTTTCCATTCCAAACAATAAGTAAATATGAGTATATTCCAAATTTACTTAGATAATGATATTAGTACATTATATTTAACTATGTTAAAATTATAAGACAAATCCTGTGTTCAAATTTCATTGATTGTGGAATATGTACTAATTAAGTAAAATAATCAATGTCAGTAACTATAATCAAGTAGTTTTAACTATTAAAATTTATTCATTACAATATTTATTGCTCTGTATAAAAATCATCATCATTCATCATTTCAGCCATTATCCATCCACTGCTGAACATAAGGCTCCCCCAAAAACTGCCATAAAGAACGATCCTGAGCCACCTGCATCCACTGACTTCCTGCAATGCATTTCAGGTCGTCACTCCATCTAGTGGGGGTTCATCCTACACTGCGTTTACTTATACGCGGAAGCCACTCAAGAACCTTTCTTCCCCATCCGTTATCGGATCTTCGAGCTATGTGACCAGCCCATTGCCACTTCAGCTTGCTGATCCTTTGGGTTATGTCAGTTATTTTTGTTCTTTTGCGGATATCCTCGTTTTGGATTCTAACACGCAAAGAGACTCCGAGCATAGCTTTCTCCATAGCCTGTTAAGTAATTGTAAGCTTTTGCATATGGGTAATCGTGTAGGACCATGTTTCGGTTCCATAAGTCATCACTGGCAACACGCACTGACTAAAGACCTTCGTCTTTAAATTCTAAGGTATTTTGGATGAAAAGATGTGGCATATTTTTTTTTTATTGGATAAAAATGGAGTGGTAACCCCGCCTGCGCTAATGGGATACGCTGGCGGGGCACCAGTGAAGGGTGATCGATGAGGATGAAAACAGGCCAATTAGCCCATCATGATGAATTCATCAGGAATTAATCACGATAGTTTCCAGGGGGAACCGCGAGGAGGTCGACCTGGTTGGATATATTGTTAGCAATGGGATTCTTAGTCTCCATTACTAACAATCCCTTTTCTCCCCCCCGATGTGGCATAGTTTCCCGAACGCTGCCCAGCCGAGTTGGATTTGTCGGTTGACATTACAGTACTTTGATGGTTAAAGTTGGACTTATCCATTTGGACAACTTGTCCCAGATATACGTACTCGTCGCCAACTTCGAGCATAGTGTTCTCACTCAATTGTAACCGGTATAGGTGTGACGTAGACGTTAGACATGATTTTAATCTTGTCCATATTCATCTTAAGACCTACCTGTTGAGAAACACCATTGAGGTCATTGAGCATAGTATTCAGATCCTCCAGGGATTCTGCCATAATTACTATGTCATCGGCAAATCGAAGGTGAGTGATGTATTCGCCATTGAATAAGAATAACTGCATAAGAATATTTAATCTAAATTTCTAGATATATGTATTTTTGTTTTAATATTTAATAAACGAAGATGGAATGGTAGCTCATACTTGCGCTATCGCTATACAGTGGCAGGCCACCAGTGAGAGGTGATAAGTGAAGATGAATGCAGGACAGTTGGCCCATTGTGATAAATTTAAGAAAAATTAAACACAATGGTTTGCAGGGGAAACCGCATGGAGGTTGACCTGATAGGGTATATTGATAGTGATGAGGCTATTTGACCCCCTCACTTACTATTCCTTCCCCCCTCCCCCAGGTACATGTATTATGTACTTATATTCAAAAAGTATTTACCTAAATATTGCACAGGTCTGTCAACAGGTTCATCAAGACGATCCTTCAACCAGGGATACTGTTTTCTCCATTTGATAACATTTGAAGGCACATCAACTCCACCCACAAACCAGAATGCCTCATGACGTGGATCATAATCTACCTGAGAGAAGACAATAATGATAAATATATATATTATTTATATGTTCTATCTGCATTTGCCCGTCTCAATCAGAATTGGCATTTTTTTTATTACAATAATAATTAATAAAATAAATTTCTATGTTTCACAGGTTTTTTGTTCAATTATTATTAATTACTACCATTATTAGTTTACTACAGTCCACTGCTTGATATAAGCCTCTTCCAAGGCATGTTACACTATAATTATTGACAAAATTTTCTTATTGGAAATAAAGTTTTTTTTTCTCTAATAAATCAGTCATTTTAGTTTTTTTTTTTTTTAGCTAGATAATAAAAAAAAAGAAATATACTATTCTAAATAGCTATGAAAACCAATAAATATGTAATAAAGAACCATGTAGTTTTGCCGGCATGAAAGCAGCTGTTTCATGTTCTTGTGAAACTTCCCAAGCACCTTTCTTAAGTGATTATGAGAAATCTTTATGCAATGTTTAAAGTTTAAACAAGTTATATAAATAAGAGGAACTATCTTTATGGAAACAGAATAACTATTAAACTCAAACTTAACTATTAGTTAATGAATTATTACACCTATTTAAATTATTATTTAATCTATATTAATAATAATTATTAGTATTTAAATATAAAATTACTTACTTGGGCTGATAATATATGGGGGACTTTATCTGCAAGATTATTAGTAATAATTCTGTTGATTTGTTTTACCAAAACATTAGCTAAGGCATCTGATTTTTGTGATTCTACAGGTTTTTCTAATGTAACAGCAAAACTATGGCTGAAATTAGTAAATTTTTATTATATTTGGATTAGAAATGTCCAAGGAAAATATCAAAACCAGTTCAGTTAAAGTCATTATATGATACAAGCTGACTCAGCAACATGGTTTCTCTCTCATACTACCACCTATTGAGTTATTTTTTTCTTATAGGGATAAAAACTATTATAACTATAAGTTTCAAGTTCAAGTAAACAATAAATATTTACGAAATTTCTTTAAAACCAATTGAGCTGTTTCAGAGACTAGCAGAAACGAATATGACAATTTTATATATTCATACATAACTAATAATAAAACAGAATTAAAATAAGAATTTACAAATAAAAGTAAAGTTAATGTGTACAGCTAATATTTTCGCAAATTATGATCCAAGTTTAAGGATTTTCTTTTTGTTTCAAAAATGAATTTGTTTTAAATTTTAAAAATATAATACTTTTGTAAAAATTCCATTATAACATTAAATAAATTCAGCATAATAAAATCAGTCATATAAAGAATACATTATGTTAATACTAAACTATAATATACAGTGGACAGCAAATAAACCGGACCACCCGCTACTTTGGAACTCTAATCCAGTTTTCTCAAAAAGTATAAAATTTACAATTGCCAAAGTCATACCTATACAAAGTGCATTTCATGACGATCAAAATGACTAAAATTTAATCTAAAGCACCGTCATCTTACATTGCAATAAAACAACAAACACAATGTTTACGATTTGCTCTGTTTTGGCTCAGTGTTCTTTCTTCTACAGTGAGGATAGTCAGATATTTCTTATCATTTCTTTAAATTTTTTCCATCATTTGCAGACACCTGTATTTATGTAACTTTTTTGAGTTAATAATGTATACAACACCTCAGGAAGCTGCTCAAGCTGTAGCATTACTTGAAGCAGGCCATGGACAATGTGAGGTCGCTCGAAGAGTTCGAATTAGCAGATTTTCAGTGCAATGAGTTTACAGATGATACTTAGAGACTGAAACATTCTATCACCGTCCAGGTACGGGCAGACCTAACAGCTAACCTAACAGGCAGACCTAACAGGGCTACATCAACAGCAGATGATCGTTACATCCAACTTACTGTTCTACAAAATCATTGACTCAATGCAGTTCAAGCCCAACAAAGTCTGCGTGATGAACACCAAGTGGTCATAAATTCAGATACAATTAGAAGGAGTCTTGCTAGGACTTGACTTAAAAAAAAAGCAGCAACAGGTCCAGCATTAATGGTAGCCCACCATCGAGCACAACTTGAATTTGCTCAAGCGCATAGAGATTGGATGTTGGAGCAGTGGAGTAAAGTTCTCTTCACTGATGAGATAAGAGTGAGTCTACATGGAAGTGATTGACGTCAGAGAGTATATCGTCGCCCTGGTGAATGTTATTCTCAGTGTTGCATCAAAGAAACTGTTGCTTATGAGGAGGATCTGTAATGGTGTGGTGCGGCATCTCATTAACTACACATATAGCTTTAGTTTTCATTGAACCGACAGCCATACACGTGGATTAACTTCTCATCACTACATTTCAGAAATTCTCACAGATCATGTGGTACCTTAAGTAGGATATATCGGGCAGGATATGCAGTTGATGCATGATAATGCACGGCCTCACATTGCTCATGTGGTGACCCAATATCTATGTTGCTACATTGGCATCCGTACAATGAACTGGCCAGCTCGAAGCCCAGACTTGAACCCTATAGAACACTTATGGGATAAGCTGAAACGTCGGGTTCAAACCCGGGTACCTGCTGCAATAAGGCTTCCAAAGCTCCGAATCACAATTGAAGAGGAGTGAAATGCAATTCCCCAAGATTTCATCATCAGATTCGTGAGATCTATGAATATGAGGATGCTATCAGTTATCAGAGCAAAAGGAGAGAACACTGAATACTAATCATAAACTATTTTTTAATTTTTTTCCTTGTTTTCAGCTTTAATTTGTTTTTTACTTGGTGATAACAAACGATTTGCGCCACTGAAAGGACTCATCTTTGTAAAATACTAATAAACACTTAATTGATTGACAAATCATAATGTGTTTTCATTAAATATAATTATCATGAAAAGCACTTTATATAGGTATCACTTTGACAGTTGTATTATACTTTTTGAGAAAATCGGAATAGAGTTCAAAAGTAGCGGGTGGCCCAGTTTATTTGCTGTCCAGTGTATAATAATAAAGCTTATATATTTCCTTATATATAATAGGTATATATATAATAGGTATACTAGTTCATTTGATCAATTTAAAGTTTTTAATAATAATAATGGTTAAAAATGTTCCACTGATCTTAAAAATTTATAGAGAATTGCGACATTGTCATACTTTGTTATGAACAATAAAACTAAGTATACATTATGAATAATAATCGAGTTATTAATAAATTTTGATCACGACCATAGGCAACAAAATTTATAAGTACGTACTCAACCCCTTCATGTTCAATACAAATAGCATCTTCGACAAGATTTTTTATTTCTTTCACTACTATTTCTGCTGTTAAAGCCGATTCTGTGTAGGTAGGAGGAAGTTTTTCAATAGGTATAAAATGACTTCTTGTATAGCACTGTATCATAGGCATAGCATTATATGGTACTTTATCTTCGTGAAGCATGACACATTTCCATCCGTAATAACGTGGCATATTTAAAGCTATTTGTTTTTCTTCTACAGTATTTACATTCTTAATTTTTTCATGAAGTTTTTCTCTTTCTCTCAGTTTTCTGGCTTTCAAAGACATATCCAATATAGGCGGATACTCGGGTGTTTCAGTATATTCATTCTGGTCGAGCAATGCGGCTTGAGAATATCTTCTTATTAGAATTTTTTTTAAATTTGTAATCTTTCTATGCATTTTGTATAAATGCATATTTGATTAATTTTATTTTACTAAGTAAAAGAGATTAAGTGATTTTCAACATACAGAAAAAGGTTAATTGTGTAGTCGTGTGTAGAGTATATAACTAAGGAATAAGAGAATGCACTTTATACAAGCTCTATAAAACGTCTTGGTCAGAAATATCTCCCCAATTTGCATAAAAATCTTCTTTTTCTCGTTATGGTGGTCAGCCTGATGTTCAGAATAATTACGAATAGGGTTATTATTATATTATAGTCTGATAGTAGAAACGCGAATTATGTAATAAAAGAAATACATACATTTTATGTTAAATTCTATGTTCCGATGAAAATTTTTTTAGGAAAAATAAAACAAAAGATAATATCCTTGAATATATATATTCTTTATTGCACTTGTAAATTACAATGTTAATGCATTTATAAATATTGTGAGCAAGGGTGGACTTATCTCTGACAGAGATCTCTTCCAGTCAACCCAATGCAGTTAGAAAACATGTTGCTAGCGGGCAGCTGATGCTACAACTATTAATATTTAGAATACATAAACAAATATACAGTTAAATAAAATATTAAGATACATAATAAAATATTATATAAATACATATACTATAAATAAATATAATATCTACTTACTTATACAGTGGATGTTAAAATAAATGAATATACTACCTAGAATAGAAATTTAGTTCAATGATTTCAAAGTTTGACAGTTCAATTATAAAAATAAATAAATTATGACTCAAAGGAAAGAAAATGTAACTTCAACCTTTTCTTGAAAGAGGTAATTGAAGGGCTCTCTTGTATGTGGGAAGGGAGTTTGTTCCATAATTGGGCAGCTCGATACGAGAAAGAGTTGCCCATAAAATGTGTTCTACACAAATCTAGGTCGAGAATCTGGACTGAACTTGACAGGAGCGTTTAGGACGGATTGGTGGTGGTAATAATTTAAATCGAGAGCGGAGGTACGAATAGAATTGGGGTTATTATATGTTATATTATATCACGTCGAAGTCGGATAGTAACTGAAACGGCAGAAACGTGATCAAATTTACGAAGACCAAAGATGAACCTAATTTTGTAATAAACATCCAAAAAACAGACGTCGGCATAGTCATACATTTTATGTTAAATTCCATGTTCCGATGAAAATTTTTTTAGGAAAAATAAAACAAAAGATAATATCCTTGAATATATTTATTATATTATACAGTATTACCCTGAGATTTCAATTTTATAATATTGTTGATAGTAAAAACAAGTTTTTAACACTTCCTTTTTCCTAACATTTAGTCAATTTCTAGAGCAGATCTTGTAACAGAGTTAATATTAATTATTTATAGTCGTAATTTCCACATCAAATTGAAAATAAATATGAAATATAACGAAGAACAATAAAATATATTTATTATATTATACAGTATTATAGTTTAGATAGCAAGTTTTTAACACTATTATTTAGCATTGCAATTGACAATATTAATTATTTATAGTATTTTTTAAAAATAAATATGAAATTAATTAATTTGATAGTATTTGCTATTGTGAATTTCATTATTTAACTAAACATTGGCATAATGTTATCTAACTAAATCCATACATTAAAAGCTAGTATGAAAGTTACACAAGACTGGTCGTGCGATCTATTTAGAACATCTGACTTGCCAACATAACGAGAAAAGGACTTTTTGTGTAGATTGGTTAGATATTCATGACCAAGTTGTTTTATGTACTTGTATGAAATGCGTTCTCTTTTCCTTTAGTTATGTTCTTAAATCTAAAGCGACTAAAGAATTTTCCTAACCGTGATTGACAGTTTGACAGAAAAGGATTTTATTTTCTAAATTCGTCCCCCTCTATGGTCGCATCTTATTTTTTAGTTTTGGCAAAGGGCTAATTAGTCACACTTTTTTGGTTGGGTAAAAATGGAATGGTAATGAAATTAGCCTGCGCTAACGGGATACGCTGGCGGAGCACCAGTGAAGAGTAATCGATGAGAATGAAAACAGGCCCGTTAGCCCATCATGATGAATTTATCAGAAATTAACCATGATAGTCTCCAGAGGGAACCACGAAGAGGTCGACCTAGTTGGGTATATTGCTAGCAATAGGATTTTTAATCTCCATTACTAACAATTCCTTTCTCCCTAATTATGTCACTAGCAAACAAAAAATGAAACGAGATATTAAAAACAATAAGGACGGTAAGGCTTGAGGTATTAATGATTGAGCAAGGTCCATCTTATACATAGGTCATACAGATAATTAAGAACAATTCGTAAAAAAAAAAATCACACAAAGATAGACACAAAGCGAGCAAGTACACCGTAGAAAGAGGACCGATGGTATTATCTTTAATGGATGGATCTAATCAAAGTATCTTACAATAGTTGCGGCAACTGAAAATTGCTCGTTAGTGGCTATCAATCTCAATCTTTTTATATGATTTGTTTTACCTAAAGTAGGTAATTAGCCAATTAATCCATTACATTGAAATTAACAATAAAAAAATATTCTCTTACAAGTACATGTCTTTGGTTCTATCGATGAAGAAAAAAAAAATTAAGCTGATGCAACATTTTGACATTTCGTTTTCATTCATTTTTTAACACATTTGACTTTACTGCTACTTGCCAATTTCTAAATTCTAACCAAACACTCTTCAGAAATAGATAAAACATTGTTTAATAAATCATGGATGACGATATGGTATTTGATCCATCTTTAAAGAAGAAAAAGAAGAAGAAAACTGGTTTTGATATGGACGCAGCACTCGCAGAACAGGGCGAAAGCGCAAGCATGGAGGCACCAGTGGAGACAGGTGACGTAGACGTGCCTGAGGACGATAACCTTGATTTAGACAATTTTGGTAAAAAAAAGAAGAAGAAAAAGAAGACCTTCTTTAATTTGGAAGAGATTGAGAATGCATTGCCCGAAACTCCACCTATTGAAGAACCAGAACCTCAGGAAGTTGAAGATATTGATGATCTGGACTTAGATATAGATTTTTCAAAAACGAAAAAAAAGAAGAAGAAGAAAAACAATTTGGATGAACATGTGGTTGAAGATGATGTTAAAGGTGAGGATCAGGAAAATGTTGAAGATATGCATGGAGACTGGGTCGGTAGCGATCGTGATTACACCTATGATGAATTGTTAGAGCGTGTATTTGACATCATGCGTGAAAAGAATCCAAGTATGGTGGCTGGTAAAAAGCAAAAGTTTATTATGAGGCCTCCCCAAGTAGTACGAATTGGCACAAAGAAAACATCCTTTGCTAATTTTACAGAAATTTGCAAGACATTGCATCGACAACCTAAACATTTGTTAGACTTTTTATTGGCTGAGTTGGGTACTAGTGGTTCTGTTGATGGTAACAGTCAGTTAATCATTAAGGGTCGTTTTCAACAAAAACAAATAGAGAATGTTCTCCGTCGGTATATCAAGGAGTATGTAACATGTCATACATGTCGTTCACCTGATACTATTTTACAGAAGGATACAAGATTGTTCTTCTTGCAATGTGAAACATGTGGTTCTCGTTGCTCTGTGGCTAGCATCAAGTCTGGTTTCCAGGCTGTCACTGGTAAACGTGCTGCCATCCGTGCAAAGACTGCATAAGTATTAGTGCATAGTTGTAATCTAATTATACGTTTGAAGGTCTGGGGTACATTCAGTTATAATTTTAATATTGTATGTTTTGAAATAAAACTCTGGTCTAATCATGTGTGTAAATTTTTGTTTTAGTTTTTACATTTAATAAAAATAATGGGCACCTTTGATATTATAAGACTATTTATTTATATTTATATACATATGAATGTTTTGCTGTTGGTATTTCTAATCAGCATTGTTATTATACTAAAAATGTTATCAATACTTCTTTGTAATTATTATTAGCAAAAATAGGACTGATTAGAAATATAAAATCTCAGTGCTCAAATATAAAAAAAAACATTACTAACAAATCTTGTTACCTGCATGTACCCCACTCTAATTAAACCCATATATTTATGTATAGCTCACATTTAAAATATTCTCATTAATACACAATGTTTATAAATAATTGTTTGATTTATTTTCCATTAGTAACAGTGATAACAAATAATATTACAACAGTTATATAAAAATAAACTGAAAACAACAATATCATGTTTCTTATTAACAGCACAAATTCAATTGTTTTTAACTATTTGTGGTTGAAAATCATGTTTACCAGCATTGTTAAGACTTTCAGCATATAAGTTGAGACGTTGAGTCATAGTAAATCCCCATTTATCTTTTATTTGACGACAAAGGTTTAAATCCAGTTGGGCTATCAGTAAACCATCTCTGATTCTGGATAATCCAGGTGTCCTGGTACCATCAGGTGCCGTAATGTAGCTAGAACCATAGAAGTGACCAAATTCTCTGTGAGCTGACTTTCCATCTCCTGATGTAAATTCATTGGGGAAAATCTCAGTTCCCACTCTGTTAATTGCACAAGTAAAGTAACTATTTGCGATAGCAGCATTACGTGCTTCAACACCCCATAAATGTTCACTCAAACCAGCAACAGTTGCGGATGGGTTGAACACTATCTCTGCTCCATTAATTCCAAACATGAGCCAATTGAGTGGATGATGACGTCCATAGCATATATTTATAGCTATTTTTCCAAATTTGGTTTCAAACACTGGATGACCAGTATTTCCTTCAAAATAATATGTAGATTCATTGAAATCTCCCACTCTTGGAATATGATTTTTTCTATGTTTACCAATAACATTTCCCAACTCATTTATAACAACTGCTGTATTCCATATGGTATCGCCATGTGTTTCATCTCTTTCTAAAATAGGAGATATTATAACCATGCCATATTTAGTCGCAAATTCTTTTAAAAACTGAGAGCTTGGCCCATTATGGACAGATTCAGCGAACTCACACCATGGCTGTTTCTCTCGAGTACAGAATGCAAATGGCATGCTCCAAGCTTCTTGTAAACATAGAATATTGACACCTTCATCACCAGCTGTTTCAATAATATAACGAATCTTTTCAAAAATACCTTGTCTTTGCTCTGTTATGGGTTTATCAGTAGAAATAGCAATTGAATGTTGGATTACGCCCACTCTCACAATACGAGGAGTTCTTGTCTCTTCTTTTTTTGCTGGAAAATTGTACGCAGCAATATCAAAATTAACATTATTTGTTTTTATAGGAAGATCATGATGATCAGTCCTACCGTAATGTATCCTATTAAATTCTTTTAGAGCATCACCAGATAGTGTATCCGACACTAATTTATCTAAACTGGAAAGTTCTATCGTAGATCCCATTATTTCATAAGTTCCAATGCTCCAGTCAAGGACAACAAAATAAATTGATAATAATATCAAAGATTAGAGAGATGTGATTATAGTAATAGGCGAATTTATGACTACTAATTACCTATACAATTGAGCAATTCATTCGAATTATTCGAATGTACCTGAAAGTTATTCGAGTCATAATTTTATTCAGTTACTGTTTTAACTAATTGTTAAAATCATTCATTTATTATTTGTTCATCTACGGTACAACGTAGCTGAGTCGAACTGATTGCTGGTGACGAGCAAAGATTATGAAATTGAATGATGAGATTTTTTTATGTGAATGGACAATAGTGGTGCTAATTTATATAAAATATATAATAAAAATAAATATATATAAAATATATAATAAAAGTTAGTAGCATCAAGTATTCGTCAGCTATCAAAAAACAGTATATATACACTTTTTTTTTGGAGGTCTATTCACTACTATTCTTAAGGTAGTGCATAGTAGGTAATGAAATGGAAAAATACTTGTTTTATTTTTATTAGTCGTTTAGACTGAATTACTAATAGTACCATTATTTAAATGCAAGTATCAACATATATTATAAATTTAATAGTCAAATTAGAAAACTTAGAAATTACTAATTACACCTGCAATGCCGTAGGTGTTGTGGGTGACTATGGGCGGCTGTAGTCACTTACCATCAGGTGAGCCGCATGCTCGTTTGCCCCCTGTGTTGTAAAAAAAAAACTAATTATTTGAATAACGCAATCAATCGGAATTAGAAATCCGTGAATTGATAATATCGAATTGAAAAAGAAACATACTAATAAAATAATACCGTAAAACGGGGTAAATAACATACGTTTTCGATCTTTACCATTGATTTTCATATAAATTCATAATTAAAGGCTTCACCTTTCAAATCTAAATTATGAAGTGTATAGAGTGGTAAAATAAAAAAATAAAAAATACATAATAAACTCTAAGGTAGAGCGAGATAGATAATGGGATAATAATTTGCACAATAGATGAAGCGTGTGAGTATGTTATAGTAAGTCTATGGTCTGCCTTAAATTAATTTAATCTTAGATTATGAAGTAAATAGATAAGCAATATAAAAGAAAAAAATATATAATAACTTAGAGTAAGATAGACGATAGGACGATAATTTTCACAATATATGCTCACAGCCATAGAAACAATATTCAAAGCGCATAAGGACGTTGTACTATCTATGTTCTTCTTATTTGAATTATGTTTGACACTTATACTTTCTCTGATCTGTGTCACTAAAATGTCATTCTTTGTTTTTAGGTATGTTAAAAGTGTTCATGATTTGTAAATAAATCATTTACTAATAAATTGAAGTATCTATTGAGATTATACGATAAACATTTATTTTTCAAAATGAATGTTTTACCCGCTCAACCTATTGGTATACAAAGTACAGCAGGAGCTGTACCTATTCGCAATGAAAAAGGTAGTAATCTATGCATGGTTTAAATTTTAAAATATAATTGATTAGGACGAATGAAGAGATCAAAGACTATACCTTTATTTATGAACGAATTTAAATATACCGTATTCATATAAATTTATATCTATACAGTACATCACAACCCCATCATTCATTATAATTTCTACATAAAATGCTAAACAATTCCAAATATTGAAACGTGTAACATGTAAGGTAGGGGATGTTAGTAATGGAATCTCAGAGCTCTTTTACTATTTATATAACCTATATATTTTGTCAGATTAACCTCTACATTTGCCTCTCCTGTTAGCCATAGTGGTTAATTTCTAGTGAATTGGTCATGATGACACCAATCATGTCATGGTTAATTATTGATGAATTCATCATGATAGACTAACTGGCCTGTTTTCATTGTCATCAATCACCCTTCACTGGTGGTCTGCCAGTGTATCCCGTTAGCGCAGGCGGGGTTACCATTTAATTTTCACCCATCAAAAAAACTTCACATATCTTGCCTCATTAGTACCTTAGCAGCATAGTAGTGTCGGTGGAATTGCTGTTCCATTTTCTATAGAATTTTACTACTAATATGTAGTGCATACATATTTCAATATGTTATAATACAGGTGGTGTACATTTGATAGTCATTATCTGTACACTGCTCAACATAGGCTTCTGTGATATACTGTTTTAATGGATTGATAGACTATATTCATAGACTCATAGACTATATTCTGTTTCCCATAATTTGTTCTTGGATTATGTAAAATTAAATTATTTGCTTGTCTTGTGGTTTTAACTGGAGACATATACCAAGGTTATAGTGAGTTTATTGGATATTATTGTTGTTTATTTAATTCAGGTGAGATATCTATGCAAAAGGTCAAAGTTCAAAGATACATATCAGGAAAAAAGCCAGATTATGCACAAGGTGTGTCATCATCAGAAGAATCAGAAACTGAGGACTTTATAGAGCAGCAGAGACCAGAGCGAAGGCAAATATTACCACAAGTAATTTATCAAAAAGATGAGAATCAAAGTGATTCAGAAAAAGAGGTCAGTATATAGAATGTCCTGTATTTGTTAAGCTTTGAGTGTATGTTATTGAAGGGATGCTTTGTGTTTTCATAGCAGAATCATTTGTTTAGCATTGGATTTTTTAATACACAGGTAGCTACTTAATTTAGTTTCTATGATAAATAAGTCTGCTTATTTGAAATTCTTTGGGATATAGCAGTTTAATGCTATGATTCACTAGTTTCAATTCCAAGTTTTGAGTTCAAATCTTACGCATCAAATTATATATAATAAGTATGTCTATGAGTGCTCTAATATTTGTAATATAACATAAATTGGACTCCCAATTCCACACTAAACCTCTCATTAGAAGAGTAGGATAAGTTCTGTTTAGATTGGTTTATTTATGTGTGGTTTTTTAAATTTTATAGTATGATTTATTATTTTTTTATTTACAATTTAGGTGGATGACCCTCGCCTACGTCGGTTGCGGATGGCAGCACATTCACCACCTCGTCGTGCTGAACATAAACCAGAAATTATTGATGCTGAACCTGAACCAGAATCAGGCTCTAGTGCTGAAGAGGCTAAGGACAGTTCAGAGAGTGAAGATGAGCTCGACGAAGAGGAGATTGAAAGACGTCGTCAAGCTCTTAAAGCTAAACTTGCTGCCAGGTGCATTATATGCTCTACTATTGTATAATAATAATTTTGTTTATTAATAATTTTTAATAAGATTTTTTTTACTTTTTATTAATATAGAATATTAGTTCATTGGGGATTTAAAATGATCATTTTTCAGGGGAGCCTGGCCCCTTAAGGCCATAATTATAAGTTCTCAGACATGTCTTTGTGCATACATTCTGGGGTGGGCACCAAACTATTTAGGGGTGATATCTCTGTGAAATTGGCCTTCTGTGATAAGTAGCAATATGATTTTTTTTCAGGGAAGCTGAAAAGGAAGTCCTTGGCAGGGATGATGATGAAGAAATGTTGGATGGAGACAAAGAGGAAAGTGGCTCATCTGACATGGAATACACTGACAGTGAGGAAGATACAGGTATTGATTTAAATCAAACACCTTATATTAGAAAATTTTGTGGATTTACATAAAACAATGTGGTAGTACTAAGAAAGTCATAATTGGACGATTTCTATTGAAACTGTTCATACTTAAATTGTCTTGGAGACACATTTACTTTTCTTTTTTCAACATTTTCTAGTATATATAATTATATTACAAAGGTGGAAAACAAGCATACAGCCCTTCTAATGGTAAACGGTCACTGTAGCCTATGGAAGCCTGCAATATCAGTGTTGTCACGTGCCTGTTGCCGACCCTAAAGAAACCTTAATATACACTTTTTGAAGAACCATAGCTTATTCCACAGAGTATTTGTGGAAGAATTTTTTTCTGGAACTGCACTATACCATTGTCATACCATACCATACGTGACCATTTAGGTTGAAGCGTGGGAGGATGAATTCTCTGTCGATTGCGAGCAGTGCAATGATAAAAGGTGGCTGTGGTTGCATTTTAAATAATTTCTTACAACACGACCCCTTATATAAGTGGTAGAACATACAAAGGGAGGCAAAGTCTCGCCTTAAACTTAAGAACTCGATACCGCCTGTGTGCTTGGGATCGTCAACAATTCTCATAGCCCATTTTTGAACCGAGTCAAGAGGACCCTTCTTCAGCACGTCGACCTACGTCCTAAAATACAATACATGTATATAATATTAATTAAAATACAATAAAAAAAAAATTAATAATAATTTAATTATGATAATTTCCTGGTATATCTGATGATTTTAATATTTATGTAAATTTAATATTTATTTACCTATTATCAGGTCACTCAGAAAGTATTGCGAGAAAAAGTTTTTATGTATGTGAGACTGACCAGTTATAATTTATTTAAAAATATGATTACTTATAAGTAAAAATAGGTACGTTATAATTCAAAACTTCCCTCCACATTTTTTGTGGAGCTAATTAAAATTACCGTGTTTCATTGAAAAATGGATTTGCGTCGAGAACATTTTCGCGCTATGATTTTTTACGATTTTAAGTGTCGCCTGAAACCGGAAGAATCGTACGATAGACTTTAAATGGCATTCATGGATGAAGGCCCTTCTAAGGCAATCGAGTATCGTTGGTATAATGAATTTAAGCGCGGTCGATTAACTTTGGGGGATAAAGAAAGAAGTGATCTCTCTTTGACGGCTGTTACGGAAGAAAACGTGCTAGCAGTGAAAAACTTGATCCAAGACAATAGACGAGTTACATACCAAGAGATTCAGCATACGTTTTGCATTAAATGAGATTTCGACATTGAGCATATATCCATATTGGATCAGGAAGCTTCCAGAGTCCTTTTTTCTTTTTATCCTGGATTGCTTCTACACGTGCATCTACGGGTGCGGAGGATAGTTTCACGCTAGGTGCCGCTCAAACTCACTGATGTTCAGAAGCAGGCAAGGGTGGAATGGTGTGATGATATGTAGACGACAAATTTAAAGCAGGCTCGTCTCGGCGTATTTACGACATCGTTACAGGTGTTGAATCCTGGATTTATCAATATGATGCAGAAACAAAGCGCTAGTCGATGGTTTGGGTGTTCCAAAACGAATCAACGCTTACCAAAGTAAAGCGATCTAGAAGCGGGGGGGAAGATTTTGAATGCGAGCTTTTTCAATTTGACTGGTTATTTGGTGTAAATTCTTTTACGAAACTAAAGAAGCAGAAGTTTTCTCTGTTGTGAGCAACAAGCGACCAAACACAGGCCTCCGCGGGCTACTGCTCCACCTCGATAATGCGCCCGCCCACACCGCAATCAAAACGAGGGACTTCCTAGACAGCACACCGGTCAAACTCCTGGGTCACCCTTCTTACAGTCCTGACCTAGCACCGTGTGACTTCTTATTCCCAAAAATAAAAAATTACCTCAAAAGGATACAATTTTCGTCGCCGGATGATGCGCTCTCAGCGTTCGAGCAAGCTGTAAACGAGGTGTCTGTGGCGGACTGGAAAAAGTGTTTCAAAAACTGGTTTAGACGCATGGAACTTTGTATAGAGGCCGATGGAGAGTACTTTGAAGAAATGTAATAAAAATATATTTACCTATAGAACATTTTGACTGAGTTGTGGCCATTTTGTATTGCTATGGCACACTCACAAACGAAAGTTGCATTTGGTTGTGTGTATTTTTTTTGTCATTTATGTTATCTTGTTTTTTTTTTGTGTATGTATGTTGTAATTTGTGTGCTGTAAGTAATGCAAATAAAATTATCTATCTATCTATTTTTTTTAGTGTCGCAGAACTTTCTGAGTGTCCCACGTATAATAATTATAAAATTTAAATTAATGTATGATTTGGTTGTTAATTTTTTTTTAATAGTTTTAGTGTTGTGCAGGTGTGATAATATTTGATTTTTGCATTGGTTAAAGCACTGTGTCCCGGATAGTATGAGTTCTGGGCCATGACGAGTCCCGAAGTAGCTTATATGTCATTAGATAGTGCATCACCTATATTGATAGAATATATTGTTCTTAAGAGCGTATTTGGTGGGGATACCTCGTTAGCAAAAAAGTTAACTGCGTTATATTAGGGTGGTAGGAACCCATTTCATTTGTAAAACTATCGCCTATAATTTATCTGTGAAATGTTATAGGGCACTGTAATTCTTTTTGCGACCAGAGCACCTGCTCGCGTTGACGGTGGTAACGGTCAAAATTTAAACTTTAAGCGGCCAAGTCTGGAAATATGTTAACCTGTCATGGTAACGACATGATTTAATGCGTTCTGATACCTGCAAAAATGGGGCTCGAACCGTAGGCTGTTGCGCTCACATAGCAACTATTATTTGATATTTAAGAAATGGGAGACAGATTTTTAAGATTTGATAGTTATGATGACGAATCTTCAGAGATATAAATGTCAATTAAGTCATCAATGTTGGGTTGCCTATAAACATACGCCCATTTTGAATAATAATGAAACTATTTTTCCGTGACTGTACTCGTGAACCCCTAACCGTTAGTATGCGATTCATCAATGGACGCACCATGGCCCAGGGGGCCTACTATGAAATGAAATTCTGAAGTTTCGGACTCAATTTCGTGTTTTCGTTCATACCTAAATCGGCCCAGTAAATGGAACTTAACATTTCGTTCGTCATAAATCCTACCATAAAAGTCTAAAACAATAATATTTTTAAGTTTTTAAATGGTAAGTTTTATGAAATTTTAACATCAAATTTGTGTTTCGTTCAGCTCCGAAATTTCGGAAAACATTTCATGGTAGGCCCTCAGATCGGGACACAGTTCTTTACCCAACACTGTACATCTCTAAATGAAAAAGTAAGTAATTTTTTAAACAAAATGACAATTGATTATTATAATATGATAGCTTTTAAAGATGGCCTACTATATTCATTTTAGTATATCTTCACATGAGAGGCACTAGAGGAGAGATGCGTTGTTCTCATGTGATTCTAATGCCTGTTATTCCAATAAATTCCAAAATTTCTTATTAAGTACTTATTATATTCAGGTCCCAGAGTGAAACCTGTATTTGTTCGAGCATCAGAACGAATGACAGTTGCTGAGAGAGAACGCAAATTGAAACTGCAGAAGAAAGAAGAAAGTGAAGCAAGAAAGGAAAAAGAGGAAAGAAGGCGAGAAGCATTAAAACTTGTAGAGGATACAATAAGACTGGAGCAAAGGAATGCACAGGTATCATTATATAATATTCAAGAATTAAATGCAATATAAGACATATATAATGAAATATTTTAATACATTTCTCCATTACAGGCTGAACAAAAAGAGGGTAATATTAATGATGTTTGCACTGATGATGAGAATGACGAATTGGAATATGAGGCGTGGAAATTACGCGAAATGAAGAGGATAAAACGTGACAAGGAAGAAAGAGAAGCGTAAGTTGTAGTTGAAAGTTTGTAATTATTAAAAAAAATATTTTTATTGGTATACAAAGATAATAGAAGTAATTTGATAATCTAGGTATTTGTAACCGTAAGTCTGCTCTTTTAAACATCAAAATATATCCGGCAGTTTTTAAAGTTTAATGCTGAAGTAAATAGGATACTTAATGAATCATTGCAATCCTTAAATCAGCCAACATTGTGATTTTATTATGTTATGATAAAACAGATATATTCATCAGATCTTCTGGAGTGTGTGATCACTTACTATCAGATGATGTATTTTTTTTTAATTTTGATAAGTCAGACGACAAATGAGTTATATAAAAATTGAAGTAGTATATTAGTAATAATTATACTAGTAAACTCAGTAAACATTCTTATGCTCCTATTGGGTCCCATCGCTATGTGGTACCTATCGGGTAATTTTTTCTTAAAAAGATTTCTCAAGTTATTAAAATTATATTAAAATGTCCTCTGTTATTAAAATATTTCTTCAGAAATATTTTATATACTTGTGTATATATCATTAAATAGAGAATTTGATATTTTTTTTTATTTAGTGGGGTAGGCAGAGAATAAAGTAATTTATAGAGAGTAGATTAATTTTTTCCATTATTATTAGACATATAACCACAAAATTTTGTTTGCAGTATAGAGAAAGAGTTGTTGGCAATTGAACGTGTTCGTAATATGACTGAAGAGGAGCGACGAGTCGAACAACGACTAAATCCTAAAGTGGTGACAAATAAAGCAGTCAAGGGCAAATACAAATTCCTGCAGAAGTATTATCACAGGTTAGAGTTATCTTTTTTTTTTTTATTATACATAAAGTTTGAAAAAATATCAACAATGTCCTTCACATTGTTAATATTTTTTTAAATTTGAAATTCTGTTTCATTTTTCTATATCAACATTATAGTATTCGGGTCAATAAACATGACCAGGAAATAAATATTCCCCTAAGGCCGTCAATTAAAAAAATTGGTAAACTTTGTGCTTCAGGAATCTATAATGGAGTTGTTATATGGTTAATCAAAAATACAAAAATTTTATAGCATGTTTCACTTTAAAACTTCAATAAATCCTAGAGAATGAAAGGGCATGGGATTTGGGATCCTACTGGCTATATAAAATATACCAGTATGGTCAAGATGTTGTTTATGTCTATAAGCGGTGGTTACCATTTTTTTGTGGTCTGTTAGCTTATTTGCCATTTCTAATAAAAGAAATATTAATTTGAAACTTGTTCAGTCCCTAACATATGACTTTGGTATATGTTACACTTTGTTTTTTCTTGCAGAGGTGCGTTCTACTTGGATAAAGAAGATGAAGTGTTTAAGCAAGACTTTTCTGGGCCAACTCTTGATGATCATTTCGATAAGACTGTTTTGCCAAAGGTAAGAAAAATATTTTTCTAGATTGCAATGTTAATTAATGTGAATTGCACCGTAAATTAGTTTCTCTTATATATTGGTTAAAACAAAATAAAATTAGTCGGTTTAGTTATATGGTTTAAAAAGTATTGGGATCAATCTTTATTTGAAAAGCATACAACTAACACTTATAATCTATTTTATATTTGCCGTGTTAAGTAAATAATGTCTATTTAACTTTTGTCAAAATATCAGTATCTACATAAAATATACAAATAGCTTAAATAAGAATATTTTTTTATTAACTGTTTTTGTGTTAACTATATGATTGTCTAATAGTTATTATTGTCTATTTTACATTTTCCAAAATGCATAGCAAGAGTGTTTACTAAATATTTCAAGAAGTGATTTATTTTAATTGAAAGCTGACTAGTGTGAGTTGTACTTTTATGTTATGACAGCATTCCCCTTTATGTCGATTAGTTTGTATGGAAATCAGTTTTAGAAACCGTTTTGGTAACTAAATAATTACTTATAGAGATGCAGCTATGTTTTCATTGAGAATTATCGAACTAAACTGTAACGTACCTAATAGTAATTTGTCTTTTTCCATTAAAAATCGTTTTAAATTTGACATTTAACACGTAACATATACCTGTATTAAATAATATACATATGTTATTGAACTTTCTTTTGTATCGTAATTAAAGTTATAAAATTTCATAAATACTGATTGAATTGAAAATTTCAGGTAATGCAAGTAAAGAAGTTTGGCCGTTCCGGCCGAACGAAGTACACTCATCTTGTAGATCAGGACACAACAGAATTTGATTCTGCCTGGAGCAATGAAGGCGCTGCGGCTAGATTGGCCAACTACAGAGGTGGCATGAAACAAGTATTCGAGCGTCCGTCAGCCAGAAGGAAACATAATGTGTGATATGGATCTAATGCTATATAATAATGTGACTTAGAAGTGTATAAATGCAGTAAAATATAAATAATATTGTAAATATTATTGCGTTTCTACATGTCAGTTATACTAAATAATAAATTCACTGAAATAATGTAATAAAATGTTTTTATTTATTTATAATATATATACATATCTTTGGTAAGCCTGAGAGATTTACCAATGCACTCGTCAAATACCACAGAACAATAATAATATAAATAATACAGTAATAGAAAAAATATTCTAATTAAATTATATAACAGACACTAAAATTATTCGCAGTTCTAGTTATTCGTAATTTGTGACTGTTCTGCGAAACTCTATGTCAGTATAGTAAAATAAATCCAGTTGTAAACTTGCAACCAAATTTCTGACGAATATTTTAGTTTTGATTTCGCTTTATTGCCTGTTCAATGTATGTAGTATTGAACTGGCGTATCTATTATGGGTTGAAAATAGAATCGTAATAGTGTATACCAGCTGTGTAGGGGAGGAATCAGTAAGTTATATGATGACAGGTGAGGGTGAAGTAAAGTCAAGTCAGTTGGTTCAAGGAGTGGTGACATGTTGCATTTTTACTACGTCACCATATGAAATATCCATCTCTATTGAGTTAAAATATTTGTTGTAGGTATCAACTTTTGGGGAAGACGGGTGATATTTTTTACCTTAATCCACATATCTTAGTCAGAATAACATTTTATATACCGAGGTGAGTCGTAACACCTTTGTATTCTGACTATTTAGTATATAAAAATAATACTACCATATTAAGGATAAAAAAAATTACACGTCTGCTTTGCAGCAAAGTACTTTAATAATTATTTGGCACTTTGGTGTGAACTAAAATAAAGACTAAGATTGACTATAAAAAAAAAAAAAAATATTTTTGGATGAAATATTTTCTTTGTTTTCATCTTTTTCTTTATTTTTTTAAGGTTTCCTTTCAATTTAAACACTTTCACATTTATTATTTTACTACTATTTTCTATGGCAGCAATTTTTATCCTCGGTAGATGTGTCAACAAAGCAGATTTGATCTTGCGTATATTCAATTGGTACTTTTTTCTTGGCGGAACTTTAGATTACATTAGAAGTAGTGGTGAATAGGACTACGGACTATAGACGTAAAGGAAACGTAATGTGACTTCTTTGAAGACCAGTTTATACATTTCAATACTAGCGATGTTCCTGTCAGTTTCTCGTATCTATACATTTGTATAGATACGAGAAACTGACAGGAACATCGCTTATTATTCGCTTTAGTATTTTTTAAATAAAAAAACGCAATTCAGCATTCAAATTCATATCACGAGACATAGAAAAAATCATGCCAAGACAACATAATAAAAATAGGAGATTTATAATAATTCGCTTAGTTGTAAAAAATGATGACTCGGTCAGAAGTAAATTCGTGATTTCTAAAAAATATGACAACAGTAAAATACTTTATCATGCTTTGATATTTGAGATATCAAAGCATATCTATATAAGAAAAAATCATAACTATGAAAACATAATACGACATATATTTACCAGAGGGAGACTGTACAAAATGTTTGTTGGGGCGCCTCTGTCTCGTGTTTCCACCGTGAAGCAGTTGTGTTTGCATGCTCTGTTTCGGTTTGGATATAGCAGTGAATTTACAGGGTACAGACGAATAACATCCGAGTCCTCAGAAATGGCAACGCATAGGTGGTAACATGGGCGTAACAGTATAGTCATTAATGTCCGTGGTACTGCTTATGTCTATAGGTGACGGTTACCACTTTCCATCAGCTTGTTTGTCATTTTAAGTTGCATAAAAAAATATAAACGTAATCAAAATTTTAGTGAAAATTACATTTGCATTTTTTTGATGCAAGTGACGTACACACATAGTCGCTATCCCGCACCAACTACGCGCCATCGCATTGTTCGCGTTGTTGTAGTTGGTACGTCCAGTAGCCCAGAGTGAAGATAATAAATATGTGCTGTTACTGACTTTAATGGTGATAGGTCCTGAGAAACAGACTTTGTTACAGCTTTCCTCGCTTTCCGCTATTAGTAATTACTACTCCGCTAAAATTATTAGGTTGTATACCAGTAGTTTCTTCAAGTGAATGAATTAAGTATAATATATACACGGATATAAAGTAAAATTGCTTAAATAATAAAAAAATGCTGAAAATGCTTTTCAATTTCTTAAATTGAGTACGTACTTATATAAGAGGCACTCACAGCGATTATTGTTAAACAGTTTAAATATCCCACAAACCTACGAACTGTCTGTAAAGCCCGCTTGAGCGAGTAAAATAAAAGTTGAACTTTGGGTAGATGATAAAACTTTTGTCCCCGAGTGGCCATTAAGCGATATTAGGGCGTGCTCAAGGGTTTTCAAATTTGTGTGCCCCCTTATCAGTACTTTTCAACTCGTCAAAAATGTTTGTGAATTCCTACCCCTTTAGGGCAGCAATGAAGACAATAAATGATGTGACATATCTTTTATACCTAGCACGAGTAATCAATATACTTTCTAAAAAAATTGCCAAGAAAATAAAAAAAAAATTTAGGGGTCAACCTTATCATTGATGGGTATGAAAAATAGATGTTGGCCGATTCTCAGAGCTACGCAATATGTACACAAAATTTCATAAATATCGGTAAAGCCGTTTCGGAGGAGTTTGGTAACAAACACCGCGACACGAGAATTTTGTATATTAGATATACACAGGAATATTCAACTGTTTTTTAAAAACAGCGATCTGAACAATCTTAACACTAGATACAAATACATACAAACTTGCTGTTCTGAAGTATCGTTTAGAAAAAGTTAATAAGTCTTTTATGAGAACGGGCATTAAATGTTATAATAAGATACCGAAGGATATTTTGAATCTACCTTTTAATAAAATTAAAACTGTTATTAAAAAGCACTTATTGAACAAAGCCACTCTAAACCATTACTTGAATAACAAGCGTGCGTGGTGTTAGTCGATTATTCACGGGCTTTTGAATAACTATGTAATTTTAGACATAGTACGAGTACATTTAAATAAATACACATATAGTTAACAGTGATTTAAAAGAGTAACTGTTGAGTTTCTTGCGGGCTCTTCTTAACAGATAAAAACTTTCCGAACCCTCCGAAAATAAATAAAAAAAAAAAAAAAAAAAAATTACGATTTAAAAGTGCTTGTAAATAAGTCTATTTATATTTAATAAAGATGATTTGAATTTGGATAACATTTTTAGATACACTATGCTACTAACAGTCCCATTCCCCTATATAATATTATTTTTTACAGGAATAACTGGTTGAATAGTATTTAAAAAATTATTTATTGTGGTGATAAAATTAGAAAAGAATATTATTAAAAATTACAGATATTAAACAAAAAGAACAAAATTACGAGTAACATCCTTACAAAAAATATTATTCTATACTTTGGGACATTTGGCGACTCCGAGTAAATCCGAATTTTGGTAATGTTTGGGATCTGGATGGGGGCCTGTGCGGCTTTTGACGTCACGTGTGAGCCGCCATACTCGACCGCATGTTGGGGCATTCTTATTAAAATAACTATCTGTCAGCCTCCATCCATATTCCCATCCGCTGCACTCTATGAAATAATACTTCTGTTCTGGCGGTATACGGGACCTACTTTTTAAATAAGCATTCCGTCCAAATACAGGTATATCTTTATAAATTACTTTTTTTTGTTTTGGATCTATAGGTCGCATGATAGGGTCAACGGAAAGGTCTGTATCAGGTCGAGCAAGCCTAGGATCTATTTTAGGATCGGCGAATCCAACGTCGGTTATACAATGTTTTTTTTTTAAGTTTGTTATTCCTGGAATATGCGTCCCATCTCGAATTACTCTAAGTTTTCTATTGGAGCTCGCAACTGTATTATCTCTAGTTATAATTGCCATGCCTGCGACCATGGTTTGTTTTAGGACATCCGTTTCATAATACCCTTTCTCCTCACGTGTTAGACTGGCAGCTTCCTTCATTTTTTCGCCATGAATATGATTCCATTTCATCCGAAGTCTTGCGGTCTTATCATAATTCTCTATGAGAAATTTTATAATGTCGGGATTTGTAATGTCTATTAGAGGCATTTTTGTATACTATTTATAAAATGAACAAACCGATAGCATTAGTTAGAAAAATTCTTAATGAAATATTTTGACAAACGACATAAGATTTGGAAAAAAAAGGAAATGTCATATTAACGCCTATACAGATACAATTGAGGCTCATAAATAATCTATAATAACAGCAATGTAGAGAAATAAACAACAATGGCTTATTAGTATTACAGAAACATTTCTAAATAGATAAAGAGTAGATAAAGCTGGTACAGCATAGATGGAGAATATGTATGTATTTGGGAATTGTTAGTAGTAAAAGTTGATAAGCCTGTTAGGTTGACTAGAAATCATCGTAGATAATTCTTGAAGAATTTATTACACTGCGCGATGGTTAAACTGACATGTTTTTGTTATCTTCATTAATTACACTACAATACAAATCTACAAATTTAATATCAGTAGGAAAATTAACGGATAAAGGAGCAACAGTTGTCATGCGAGATGGTACTATTCTATTGAGGGCTTTCAGAAATGAGGATGGATTATACTATGTGAAAGAAAATAACAAAGAAAATGTTAATTATTGCAAAACAACCAATATGCTGGAATGGCATTAGCTCATCTGAACGAGGGGCAAATGAAAATAGTTTTCCAAGTACTTCATCACTTTCACTGATGATTACTTATACAAGAATATATACTATGAAAACTACATTGAAAATTTGAAGCTAGAGCTACTGTAGGAATATTTGTAGGATATTCAGAAAATCACATTTTCCCAAAGAAGAAGATTTAAAAGATTTGAATAGACATGAATTTTATGAATCAGAACAATTGATGAAATAGTCATAAATGTACCTGCAGAAACAGAAAATGAAGTATCAACCATTGCGCGATGGTTAAAAAATATAAATTTTTATCTTCATTATATGGAAAAGAATAAAGAATTGGACCTATCATCTCTTATTCTATTGGCATAACACGCATACGCGGGGTTTCGATTCCATTACCATTAATTAAAAAATATTTTCAGTATACAAACTATAGGACCTATTACAAAGTTTTTTGTAATTTTTGTTTTCATATTTTTTTTTTTTTTACTGTTCATTTTTTTTATTACAGTCAGTACATATTTCAATGCGATATGGTGTTTCATTTTCACTAGTAGTTCACAATACATATTACCTTTTTTTTATCTTTGTCTATTTACCGCAGTAGTAAGTTGACATAAAAAACTAACTTTTTATTAATGTATTTTCTGATGACTTTAGGTTGTTTCATCAATTTTTGTTACTTAATGGATTTAATAAATGTAAAAAAAAAAATGGGTAAATTAGTAATAATTTACAGTTCTATAAATTATTACTAATTTACCCATTTTTTTTTTTTACATTTATTAAATCCATTAAGTAACAAAAATTGATGAAACAACTTAAAGTCATCAGAAAATACATTAATAAAAAGTTAGTTTTTTATGTCAACTTACTACTGCTAAGTATTTAGATAGATAAACACTTTGACGCTTGAGTCAACTACGACGATACACGAGAATAATAAAATTTATTAGATAATATAAAATCAAAATATTACATAGGTATTTAGGTATTTGCATAAATGATGCATGTTTATATGTAACCTGTGCAATTGATAAAGTTTGATCGACTAAGTTTGATGGCAATAGTTTGGGCTCCTGTGGCTGTGGACTTCGAATGTAGTATGCAGTTTATGTTTAGGAGTAAGTTCTATATAATATATGTAACTACATCAAATCACTACTACTGTCATCATTGTTATGAAATATATAGATATATGAAATAATTTGCTATATGTAAATTTAAGTCCAGTTCTTTTTTATTGAAAATTGTCACATTATTGTACACCGCTTTACCCGCTGACATTGATGCTCCTTTCCACTTTGGGTTTGTTGGATGAGAGCTCTTAGAGTTAAGCTCGCCTTTGGCTTATATACTTACACCTGTCATATTTTTATGTACTATCATAGTATAGTACAATAAAGTATAAATAAATAAATATGCTTTTAACATCTTGGGTAGTCAGATACCTGACTACCAGACTGTCATGTGTTGATAGAACTGATAGATACTTTCTTAGATTTCTCAACGTTCAGTTTAGTTGACGAAGGGCAAAAGTCTTTATGTTCAAGATAGCTAAGTCTTGTTTGGTTTGGGACGTATGTTATTGTAATGTAATTTTATAAGTACACGTGATTTTTTATGTATATGACTTCTTCTTCTAAATAAAACATACATCACATTTTAGGTTAGACTTTCAAGAATACAATTGTTAAACCACATACTGCATTTAATATGGTAGAGTAGTTTTTGAGTGATGCTGTAATAAGCTTATTGATAGATGCACAAATAGATGAAACTAATGTCGTTATTGAGACTAATATATCTGCCCTGTAGACATTGACTGTATTGTATAGACATTGACTTGGAAAAAGTCAATTTTATTATACAAGCACCATTAGTAATACTGATCCTGGTTAAAAGGATAGAATTTATGGTTGATGGTATTTCCCTCTATCACGTTATGTATACAAAACATACCTAATTTTATAACGATTGGTTGAACTGCTAAGTCATCAACAGATAACACCCAAACAAACTTGTGTTCATATTTATAATTTTTGTAAATATTAGACAACGCATTGTTTAATTGTAATTGCAAATTTATATACTTGGATATAAAGAAATACATACTCTTTTAACCCACATTTTTTATACTACTGTGACCAATGCTGTTACCAATTGAGTTACCGCTTCATTAGACACTCGTTATGAAATTAACAAGCACTACACTTGGCGTCTCTGTGGGAACACATTACGTTATCAATCAGTGATAATTAAATGGGTTTGAATTACAATATATTATCTACAATATTGTAGAAAGTCACTTACATTTGTCAATTGCTGTAGCGTAGCTGTAAACACGTTATTCTTACGTTAATGAGTTCGATTCTCAGTTGAGCTAATTGTGCCAATAAAGGTCAATATAATCTCAAAATATAAGCTCAGTATAATTTGCGAAATCTATAGTATTATATCTCTGTGGTATGGTACCATTTGCTAAACTGTCAGCTGCTTTGCCATTTCCTGTGGAACATTATTTAGATAAGAGATAATATACCACCCAATCCAAACATATCTACAAAAAGGAAACAAAGTAAAGAGCACAGATGGCATTTATGAATTACTGTAAATGTTTGTATTTCATTGTTCATAAATTTGGATTATCATGGAGCGGGCTACGGTCAGCCTATGTTTTAATGTAATGCATTGAATTAGGATTTATTTGCTCCATTATTCATTGCCGACTGGCCAACTCTCTAGTTTATTGTACAAGTGTCTAACAACAACAGTGGACACTGCTTACTTGGCACATGAAAATTATTGTTTTAAATATGGCCATAAACTTTTAATTTAGAGTATTTTATATGGTTACATGGAGAAATAAGCATTTTGGGACATTCTTGATTTTTATTAAACAATGTTTTTATCGTCTCACGCCTGAGTCAAGATTTACAGAGTTTAAACTTTTATGGTTTTCCAATAATGGTTATGTATAGCTTTTAAATTTGTATGTAAGACGACAAACAAGTATTTTCTTGGGAATATTTTCGATGTAAACTTTCGTATCAGAGGTGCAGTAATGTGTTTGTTTGTTGAACGTTTGGGAATCTCGGGATTACACGGTTTTATTGCAATAATAAAAGAATAGAGCGTGTCGTCGCTTGCCTTATCTACTCGTTTATTAAAATACAATATATATATATATATATATATATATATATATATATATATATATATATATAATAAATTTGGTTAAGTATAAGCAAAGTGTGTGGAATGGTGGAATGGAAATGGAAAGATAACCCCGCCTGTGCTGATGGTATACGCTGACGGGGCACCAGTGAGGGATGATATGTGAGAATGAAAAGGCAGGTCAGTTAGCTCGTCGTCATTTGGGATTCAGCACGATGGTCTCCAGGGGGAACTACATGGAGGTCGACCTGACAGAGTATATTGCTAGCAATGGTACTGGTAGTTCGCATTACTAACAATATCTTCCCTTCCAGAAAATGATGGTAGGTGAGAATGAAACCATGTCAATTGGCCCATCGTGACCGTGTATTCATTCAGAATTTTTATCTTAAAATGCACGACACCTGAGGTATCTACTATTTTGCCTATTTCTGTCATTAAGTTCTAATTATTATGTTTCTGTAAGAATGGAAATATAGCTAGTGTACTATCTCTGAGATAAAGAAGCAGACAGAAATACGAATGAATTTAAAACTAATTTATTGTTCACATGTTTTAAGAGCCCAAAAATGTTAAAATTTAAGATCTTGTAACCAAAACACAATAAGGTCACTTACGAGTATGAGTACTTAAATCTGATATTCTAGGAATAAATGACAAAAGCCGACGCGGAGCGACTAATCTATAGATAAAATAAAAATGTAAAATATTTTGAAATTCGTTTTATTATTTCAAATTATATATTAGCTATTCATTGAATATGAAACGTTTTGTGTCGGTTACTAAGTTCATGGCGTGGCATCGGTATTCGCGTAGCAATTCGCATTGTCGAAGTTAGACATGCCCACGCTTAGATTTATATAAACTAATTCACTAGTATCGGCTTGGACACGAAGTTTCGCGAACTGGTTCTATATTTAAAGCGAATTTACTATTAAAACTTTATTTGTGAACAATAAATATATATTTGATTATTTGAACCTTCTAAAATGTTTTGCAATTGAAAAAAGGAAGAGAAAAGATATACAAACATTTACTGAATAATATTGTAATGATTTATTAATATCTAGTCTTATAATAAAAAAGATACTATAGTTGGATATCTCTTAATTACATAAAGATATGTATGTACATAAAAATTATCATGTATAAAACTAAAAGTCTTAAGTAATAATTTTTAATAGTATATATTTTTATTAAGTTGTTAGTTGGCATAAATAAAAAAAATACATTAAAATTACTTACCTATCTTTTAATTACACATACTTACATGAAATTCATATACATGTAGTATATTTTTAGAAGTATATATTCAGATACAATGCACAAGAGGAAGCTACCGATATATTTCCTTGTCACAACCCATGTTAAAGGTAGAATTCAAACAGGGTCTCGCGGGAGTGACGATTTCAGTCGCAACCGTTAGGGACTTTTAAATATAGCAATTGTACTATGAGTAGATTATATCAAAGTAAAATCTTACAGTTTACGTTAATTATGGTGGTATAAGCGATTTTTTTATCTATATTTGATGTTGACGCCCTTTATTCGTCATTAACATTCTACATGGAAAACGGAACATTTTTCTCAAAGAAAATAAAATAAATGAAGTTTCCCATACTAATGAGATTAACTAATATGTTTTTCGGCAAATATTGTTCTATTGGTAGTGTGGCAGTCTCTTAAGAGAATTAATAAAATAGAATACGGAAATAAAATCCATCTTAAAAATAAAGATAACAATCGATTTAAGGTTGACGTATATGTTTCGTAATAGTAATATATATACATAAAAAGATAGACAAATTGAGATTTTAGAAGTCAATCATATCGTTTCTTCTTGTCAGTATTATCAGACAGAATGCCCTAGGTACCTAGAATAATCATGTATAAATGACTACATTTATATTAAGTTCAGGTATTTCATAATGAATATAAATGCATACATGTTTAGAGGTGGGAGGTGACAGAAAACAATGTCCAGTAGGCACCGACTGGGTTATATGTTAATTTTGTGACCTCTGTTAAAGACAGCGTGTTACATATAGTTAATAGCAGTATAGTGAAATATTCTAAATTATATACTATATATTAAATATATAGTATACAATTTTAATCACATATGCAAAATTTGCAATATCCTTTAAAAGTTGCAACTAATATAGCAGTCTAACTAAAACAATTACTAAGTGCTAATAAATTTAAAACAGTATAACAAAATATATCAATTCCATTTGGATAAGTTTTATTTGTTTTTATATTACATATAAGTCCTATATATAGGAGTACTTACATAAGAATTTATAAAGAAAAAAATATTTATTTTTAATATTAACATTAAATTATTATATAAATTTACATATTGCGTTACATTTTATTAATACATTACATTAAATTTCTTAAATACTAAATTTGAACGACATTTGTGTATTGATTCAAGTACTGGTTTTTATTAACTAATAATCTACTTACATACGAATAACAAAGATCAGACAAAAAAAATATTAAAACAAGAATTATAAGAATAAAGAATACTGAGTATTATAAATATAGAGAATAATATTATAATAATACTCAGTACCTATTACTTATTTCTATATAGTAATCATAATACATTATTATCTTTAAACTACGTGTTACTATATCGCGGCTTTGTCAGTGTGAATCAGTATATAAAGTATTCTACGTGCTAAGTTAGAACTTGATTTACCAGTGTACCAAATTTCATTTAAATCTGATCAGTAGATAGTTTTTGTAAATTAGTGAAAGAATAACTAACATCTATCCGTCCATCGTTACAAAATTTCGCATTCATAATATTTATAGGATTAAACTTTGATGATAGTATGTACCTACAATTTATTTTTTATATTAAAAAAATTTTCTATCCAAATAACCCACTAACTTTCCACTGCTGACATGAGTTTCTCTTGAAAAGAAGATTATATTAGTCTACTGTAGTCACATTGACCAGAAGGGTTCTATTTTGAGATTCCTCTCGTACTATGCTATTTTTATTATCTTTTAAAAATTGCAGGGATGCAATGCTGTCGATATTATTGATTATTCTTAACACCACATGGGTATCTGACAATATGTAGTATAGTATATATGGTGTAGTATCTAATATAGGTACCTGTGCCAATGTATTTATCTACAAGCCGACAGTATGATGTTAAATTCATCTCCCAGGCTTAGTAATGTAAGAGTAGAATATGTACCTATATACTTAATAGGCGTGCATTACTAGAGGTAGATCATGAAGATAACCACATACTTTAGACTAGATGGATGTACTTAATATTGCGTGTCTCAACACGGTTCTTCTAAAGAAACATTCTTTAAATCTCCATTCATGTTTCAATGTGACAGTTCTGATGCATTTTACAAAATAATATTCCTGTTTCTGTGGAATAGGAGATGTCTATCTACTATATAGAAATACGTCTTTACCAAATGTCTTTGGAAATTGTTTTGTTTTATTTTATTCGTTTGCAATTCTGAGACCCGTTTGACATGATTTATTTTCAATAAATAGTAGGTACCCCTTTTACAATTTTTTTTTATTTATTAATATATAATATACAAAATACGTATTCATGACTTCAATCAGCTAAAGTTATTATTATAATTTTAGCTGATAAATTGTTCTTTGCTGAACAGACAGTTAGGAATAGTTTTCTCTCTTAGACATGTACTAATAAAAGTATTTCTTTCTTTGATATTAACATAAATTAGCTAATATATTATTAATAAGTATAAGTTAAAATTAATTTCTAAAGTCTAATAATTTTTTTCGTCAGATATAACTGAATTTTTATGAGGATCGTTATCAATTTGGTCTTTAGGTAATGGGAAGTGAACTGGTGTTCCGTCGCCTAATCTGTTAGCTATAGAGTTTATCATTTGTGGGGTAGCTTCCTTTAAATCATATACCCAGCCGATTTTTGCGCCTAACCTGATAAGCCATGTTGTAATATTAAGTATATCAAAGTGTTCAGCAGCTTTATAGTCAAACGGGAAAGCGTGGTGATAATTGTGCCATCCTTCACCGAGAGTGCATGTAGCGACAAATCTATTCTCTGATGGAGGAATATTTCTGAAAAGATAAAAAGAGTTTTTGTAATAAGTAGACATTATAATATACACATCCAAAAGTCTAAGCAACACATACAAATTACAATTTAACAATGTGTTTTCGCAATAAATCCTTCGTATTTTCTTATTTATGTTATTTTTTAATGCTTTTTTATATTAATCAACAATTTTTTTTATTTATTTTTTAATAAACTTAATTAACAATAATTACGAGTAAGTACTGTATGTACGTAGTACAAAGTAAGGTGCCTAATCAACTAAACTTAAAATTAAATTGTTGAACAAAAATTGCATAAAAATAGTGTTAGCTTATTTAAAATACTATTCGCTGTTAATTGAATTCGAACACTTTGGTCACCGTCTATTTGTAGGAACATAAATTTTTGTTGTTATCATAATATGTGCGAAGTATACACTATAGTGGAGGTACCTACGCTTATGATACAAACTTTCAACCACTATATCTTGTAACGAATGAACAGACAGTGGATCAAAAGCTTATTATGCTTTATAGCTTAAGAAATTAACATTTTTAATAACTATTTGATTTTGTAATAACGGTATGAAAATTTTGTTATTTTCTTTATTATGACACTACTTACTTCAGGTTGCAGCTGAAAATCAGTGCTTTGCTTTTAAGCAAAAGTATCACTGAGCTGTAGCCTTTTTGGGTCACTGCGACACACTTGGTGAAAACATATCTCCAATATTCATTTTTTTGTTTTATATGTTGTTTTATATTTGAAAAAATGTAAATAATCAAATTGTATCATTTTATTCATTAATTTACGTGTGTTAAATGGCTCAAATAAAGTGTTTATCTATCTATCTATCTACTTATCTACTTACTTATTATAAGGCTTGTATCCGTATATATGTGCTAGGCTATTCACGGTCAGTTCGCTGTGGAACATGCCCAGGAATCTAATAAAGCATTGCCATGCGACTGCGCATCGCCAGTTTTCGTTCCACAGCCAAATACCAGCAGTTGTTGGTAATATGTAGCAGAACATTAACTTTAAATATCCGAAGTATCTATAGTGTGAAGAGAAACAAGTATATAAATATTAACCATTCTACCATTACATTACCATCGAAACTATCCTAACACCCTTTTTCAATCAAAGTACAGTTATACTTTTGTGAAAGCACATATATGTATACATAAGCAAAAATTTGTTGAAATTATACAAGTATCACAATATGTACAATATTTGGGATATAGGTATATTAAATAATATACACATAACGCAAGTAGGTATACTATAAAATAATACTAAATATACTATACTATACTAATAAAATGTTAGTAATGCGTACTATCAGTCCCATTGCTAGCAATATAGCAATATAGTCAGGTCGACTTCCACGTGGTATCCCCTGAAAACTATCGTAACTATCGAATTCCAAAGGTATCCGTTACGATGAACTTGCCTTTTCATTCTCCTCTATCATCTCATCTCTGATGATAGATGCCAGCGTATACCGTTAGCGCAGGCGGGGTTAACATTTCATTATCATCCGTTAAAAAACTTGCTTCATCCTCACCTATTTATCCTTTACTAGTACCTTGCCAATGTAAACCGTAACTGCAGGCGGGGTTACCATTCCATGATCATCAATTAAAAAAAAATGAAATTCTTATTTGTAGTTATGGAATATTGCATTAAATACCTTTCATATGAGTTCAAAAGTGGATCGTTTTCAATGTCACTCATGTCAATCTGTTTACCACGGAGAAGAACCAGTTCATTTTTCTTCATCATTAGCCAACCGATATGTGAGAAAAATAGTCCACGGTTGGCGTTGTGCGGGTCTGCATCTGTGTCGCTATATTTGTGATGAACTCGGTGATCACGGACCCATTGTTTCAATGAATTCTAGAAGCAATTTTTAATTAATACTCAATAGTTATTTTTATCGTAATATACGTGTAGTGTCGTGACAGAATAAGAATAAAATGTGTATCCACTTTATTTCATGTCCAAGATACTGTAAAAAGTGACAGAGGAAATTAAACATAATAAAAAACAACTAATTTCTTCCTCTTAAAAGAGTTCCTTTGCTGTGAAGTAGAATGTTAATATATTATAACAGGTGATGTAATACAATACTTATAATGTTCTCTAGCTTCGGTATGGTCATATCGTGATGTTGAATAGCCTTATTATTATAACCTGCCTCAAGAACTTAGTTATTAAATGCTAATTTTTCAAATCCAACTGGTAGTTCCAGAGGTTAGCGCGTACAAATAAACTGTATGCTGCTATATTATACTAGTACGAGAATAAATTACCCAATAAAGAATTTATTAACATTCAAAATAATCTAATGTCACCATATTAAGTAGGTATACAAGACCTTTCTGACATCTATTACCATATAATTTACTTTATTAAATTTCATTAAGATGGGTTTATTTTAATTAATACGATATACATGATGTAAAATGCATTGTGTGAATGAAATGAAATGAAATTCTATATTATACATATATACCTACTTTATACGTACATAGTTACGTAGTCTGTCTCTTTTTTAGATCGGTTAAATTTGACCTTCCTATAACAATCAGGTTAATTGGTAAACAATGTTATTTGATTTAACTAAATTATACAAAATAACATTAAGAACTCAGCAACATAATAAACATTTATTAAAAAAAATGTTACTAAGGAAAATAACAATGAAGTGATACTTTTTATCAGAGTAATGTTCTCTCAATTTGTTTAGGAGGAAGTATATAATTTATTTAGTTTCAATTTCTGATGAGTTAGTGAATTAAGTAGAAATAATGTCTAATATTCCTTTGCGTTATTGACGTAAAAGTCTGTTACTATATTTAATAGAGACATACCTGTCCAGCAGTAGCAAAGCATGTCAAAAGAAGTATTTTCATAGGAAGTTTAGCTTTGTACGATTTGTGAGTCCATAATCGATGTGCACCTCCAGTAATGCCGAAACCAGATAGTACATACATTACTAAAGCTATAAGTAAAATGAATGTTATTAATTCATAACAGGTTTTAAAATAGTTTTAATTTAGTTAGGTCAAAATTTACTCGATTATCAAATTTTATTGAAATCTATTGAAATCAATTTTAACGTGATACCATAATTGTCAGAGTGGTCAGAAAGACATCAATTTCAAAAACAGTTCAATTTTTTTAAGTAAGAGTTAAAATTTTGACTATTTGGACTCTTTTGCGTTTAGAAAATCATTCTATTACCTTATTTTTTTTATTATAGAACAGAATTATCATAATACTGAAACTGAAAAACAGTTTAAATTATAGTTTAAAACTAAATTAATTACAAAGTAAACTATTTACATAAATGTACTTTATATCTTTTAATTTTGCTTAGTTATCAAATAGTTCGATGGATAGAGGATGCTGCATTTTAGTTTCAAAGATAAGATATGATAGTGAAATTATTAGGGTTTAATTAAAATGCAAATATTAAAAAAAGGAAGAAAGATTTCATATGAAATTAGAATCTCGTAAATTATTTTGATAAACTAATATAATTTGTTGCATTTTGAGATCAAATATTAAAGCGGCCAAATACTTACCAAATACTAATGTTTGCCATTTAACCGGAAATGCGTAGTGATAGCACCAATAAATTCCTACTAAATGGTATAGTATAATCGCAATGCAAAGAAACCACTTTATTTCATTCTTAAATCCTAAACTTTTTTCAAATTCTCTAAATAATTCACTAAGCGACGGTTGATGTATTTTGTTGTTCATTTTTTAATTTTTAATTTCTTATTTTAGGTCCGCCCATAAAACTGTATATGCTATGGACGCCCAGAAGTATTTGATTTCCATTTTAAACTAATAGGTGACTTCGTGATTAACGCAACTGTTTCGAACTTTGAACGTACGTAATACATTATGTAATGAATTTACATTGAAATAAATTAACTATTGATTTAAATTTTAATTACAAATTAGAGAGACTATAATTTGAATGAAATACAATTGTAAGCTTAATATACTACAATATATCAATACTTATTCTTAGGTTGTTACAGATATTTATGAGTAAATATTCTCGTAGGCACGTGCGTAGTTAGAAATAATTGGTAGTCTCTTAATAGTAATCGTAATAATCCATTAATATTGGACGCTCTTATAAATAATCAACTACTCGTAGCTTTTACCTGAGACTTCGTCCGCGTGACCGAGATTACTCACTTAGCGGAATAGAAAGTTAACTATATCCTTCTTCATTTCATATAGTACCTGTTAACCAAATTTCATAGGGATTGGTTAACCCGTTAAGGCGCTGAGAGGTAACAAAAAAACAAGCGAACTCATTTGCACATTGATAATATTAATAAGGATTAATAAAAATAGCACTACGGCACTATATCGTAATAGACTAAGATCCTATCGCTGAATTTCGAAGGTATAAAATTGCTTAGTGAAACTTTATTTACATGAAAGATGAGCGAAAATATAATATAATACATCTAGGTTGGCTGCTCTCAGTTAGCCGCAGAATTCGATATAGGATATAATAGGACAGCAAAGTTTATGCATTTATTTCGACGATTTTGTAATTTATCATATGATATCATAGCATATACTTTATTGTCACGATATAATAGATGAGCAAAATGTATGTCATTATTTAGAGATACCATATCCCCTTATTTTTAAAATTACCAATTTCGAAGAAGATATGTCAAGATTATTTACTAAATATGGCAAATATAAAAACAGATTATTATAGCCGACCCTATTCGTCGATAAAGACATAAACCGTGTTATATTATGAACCCTTATGCTCTGATAATATTCGCCTGTTGTTATTTCCTATCGCTTTTGCTATTCCCTCTTGTTCATAGCACTATAAATTCTGTATGTCGCTTATATGGTATGAAGATATTAAATGAAGATACTGTGACATTACGATGAATTTGTTCCGTATTTCATCTCTATAAAGTAGAATTTCATTATGTATATAAGTATGATTTACCATAGAATATAGAGTGATGTTTTTACTCAAAATATTTTTTATTTAACAATATTTTGAGTACTTCGAGTTTATAAAATCTGTACCATAAGTAGGAATTTAATAAAAATTGTAGAACTTTATAATACTGGCATTTTAATATTTCTTTATACGTAGTTATAGAAACCAAAAGTAGACAAAATAGAACACTTGTTATTATTAATGTAGACCGTCTGTGTTATAGAAATATTTTTTTTTATTTTTGATAGGACTAAATAATAATAATAATAAATAGATGTTCAGTAATATATTGTAAAACTCCGGAGAAAGCCTGGAGATCTGTAGTACAGGTTTCGACCTAGTTCAGACTCCAGACTCTCACAAGGATAACAATTTTAATTTAAAGTACTAAATAGTCACACACAGTCACAGTCTAAACAGTTTCCTTGTGAGTAGTGAATAAAGATTATTATTATTATTATTTGGGTAAATTGTCTGACAGATGACTATGATATAATTTGTATTATTGGGACAATGAGTAGGTAGAAGAAAATAGTTCTGCCTCAGAAACGGAGACATGACAGCGCTACATCAATGTACTCGTAACCACGGACGGCGTAACGGTCGAAACGTCGTGATAATTCGCCTCGGTCGCCTTAATTCCCTTTTCTTATAAAACATAAAACAAGCAGCGCGAAAGTCTAAAATAAAAAAATGATATTTTCTATTCTCATAATTCTCGTAGATTATTTCTTGACGATAAAATATATATAATAATTTTACATTTGAGTAACCCACATACGAATCCGTCATAGCGGGGGGAGACTATTATCACTGACACATGAGAAAGACTCATTAATTAAATTTGTTAACCGAAGTGTTTGTAGGGAATATTATTATTTTTTAATGTAGAACAGAAGATGGTATGAATAGTGGTAGGTACCCACTTAAGTATATTTTGCACAAGATTGGTAATCTGTTACATAATTCTATAATTCTAAAATGTTCATAACTCTTCATTACATTGTAAATATTTAACAAACTAAGGATGAGAAAATATTAAACATTAAATATTTACTCACTTTCATATTTTATAAAATTAGTGAGGGTAGCAGTAGTTGGAATAATCAACTGACATAAATTGTGGCAAAACCAGTTATTTTGAATTCAAAATTAAACTTTTTTTTTGTATTTGTTACACTTAATTCCAACAGTTCTTAACCTTTGAAATATTTTTAACTACACCTTCTTTTTTAAGTAGGTTGAAGATAATAATTTATTGTGTTTTTACTCGTACGAGTATTTTATTGTCATAAAACAGAGAGTGGTTCTGTTTGATTTTACAAAACTTTTGTAAGTCTACATATATATACCTACAAATAGAATGTAAATAAACTAGTCACGATATACTAAAAGTATTTTTGTATCAAATATTGAATATCCATTTCAATAAAAATATCACTCACTCAATACGAGTGAATCATAAAAACACTTGTAATGTACGTGCGATGATTGTTTATTTATGGATGTCCTCTCCATTAATTTTCCTTTGACTTTTAAAGGTAAACTGGTTTAATATTTTGATATTATTAAATTAGACTGTATAAATTTAAAACTGAATATTCATAATTGAAACTAATAAACTACTTGAATGTGGAACAGTCATCTATGGAAAACTATAGAAAGTGTATTGAAGGTTTTTTGGGCCATTTTATGGTACTTTGTTATGACCTAGTGGTACAATAGCCCGACTTATAGCTCTTAAACGTGGTTAGTTTGAATTTGGACGACACCAAAAGTTTCGTGTGTTATCACCAAATAAAATGGTAAAAGTGATAACGGTAGGTTTGCTTCCTGCTATGTTGGATTCTAATATTTTTTTATTTGAATAGTGTTTCATGTATTATGGAAAAAATACGATATTTAAACCACTAAATCTTTGGAACCAAATTACATGGTTTTCTTTTTGGTGTTGGTTAAAATTTAATGTCGAAACGACCTTGGTCTTCTTGGCCGGGGTTAATATTTACTGGGCCGCTATGTTCTTCATATTTTTATTTACTGCTCATATAATAGCGCGAGTAACTCGGACATGAATCACTTGAAATTGACATAATTTGTAAACATCTGCTGGGGCTATAAACCTTTTACGACCTCCTGACTTTTTTCCTTCGTGTATTGCTATTTCTTTAAATACTTACGTAAGGTTTTTTGTCAACACATACGTTGTAGCTCTTTTATCATTGTCACCGTCTAAGAGAATAATTTCAACTGAAAAATTAATATGATTTTAACCTTTTAAAGCTAACGTAGTTTTCTATCTCTACTCTTTTTTTAATACTATTTAATATATTTATTTTAGTATCGTAATACGTATAATCGGTAGGAACTCTAATAACGGGATACTGATAGTGAGAGTTAAATGGACAAGATATTATAATTATTATAGAAATATGTCTATTGTTGATACGGTCACTATAAATAGTTTTCTCCAGTTTTCTGACTAATTTGTCATACATTAAGCTCGATATTTTTTAATTAAAAAAAAACTTAATCTACTTATATTTGCAAACTTACTCTGTTAAAGTACTATTAATATCATAATTCTTTTTTTTTATACAACTTAAAATGGCAAACAAGCTGACGGCCCACCTGATGGAAAGTGGTAACCGTCGCCTATAGACATGAGCAGTACATGGACATAACAGAGTATACTGTTTCGCCCATGATACACCCCATGCGTTGCCATTCCTGAGGATTCAGGTGTTATTCCTTTGTACCCAGTAAATTCACGCCATATTCCACCCTTCAAACCGAAACACAGCCATGCAAACACAACTGCTTTACGGTTGAAATACGAATGGGACAGAGGTACCCAAGCAAACGACTTTTGTACAAAGTCTCCCTCTGGTAAGATCTAGATATCGTTCGTGATGCATTAAGTCCTGTGCTAATGGGTACTCTTTTATCAAAAATTGTCGTAGTGAAGAGTGAAAGTTTGAAAAAGAAGTATGAAAAGAATGGACCGAAAAGAAAATTTTGACTAGCAATAATTTGTAAATTTTCAATTTTGACTAGCAATAATTTGTAAATTATAATTATCTGTCATATTTTTATAACTAATGTGTACAATAAAGTATTAAATAAAAATAAAAAAAAATATATATAAAATTATTAGGTATATTAAACATTGTCCATGTTGTTATTGGTTGTCTTCTTGATCACGATAAAATTAAATTTCTTTGTTTATTCACAATGATTACAGGGAGGTTAAATATGCCGTGTACCGCTTTGAAAAAAGTATGGTAAGACTGCTTGACTTGGCATTGCCGTGCTCCTTGATTTACCGCGAAAAAGGAGCCTATGCTCTGTTTCATGCAAAATAATCCATATTTGTTCGATGTAGTGAAAATTGACGTATTGAATAGTCTATGTAATAAAAAAACAAACTTACTTGTACATTTATATTATTACTATTACTAAGAAAATAAGGATATGTAAGTAATTCGCTTTGATATCTCTTAGTAAGATCTGAGTTTTTACATAGCCGGAACTGTGTTTTTATGTGATCGCGAATTCGAGAATCATGTGTGTTTTATATTCGTAGTTAAAAACAGCCATGAAACACAGAGTAATAGAAAATGATCTTTGCGATATTCTTTACTAGTTCTATCCTATATATATATATATATATATATATATATATATATATATATATGGAACACTATTTCTTGGTATTAAGTTATACAAATATGAATTATTGGACTCTTAATTAATTACCCTCCTGAGATAAAACAGCTGTTCTGGAGGGTCATTACTGGAATCAAAAGATCAACATTTTAAAATCGCTGCCTTACTTACTTAAATTGTAATTTCAGATTGATATAG